TTTTACATTTATGAATTGCATTTACTTTATCACATTGCATATAGGGTTAGATTTATTTTTACGTCAGTCCCGGGACATGCATGCATTAATTCCTTTTCTATATTTTATACTAACACATTTTTAGTGTTTTTTAGTTTGTAGGTGAAGCTTATCGGGAGATTAGAGGAAGCGCAAAGATCCGTCGATCTCGATTTCAAACCAAGGTAAGTGATTTTAATATTATTTTGTCTTTCCCTTCCTATGCATATACATACTAATATCTATTTTAAATCTTTTTAGATGCATACGAGAGGGAGCGGCCGCATGATCGGACTACCGAACATAATAGGGAGTACTTCTTTCTTTTTCTTTTACATTTATGAATTGCATTTACTTTATCACATTGCATATAGGGTTAGATTTATTTTTACGTCAGTCCCGGGACATGCATGCATTAATTCCTTTTCTATATTTTATACTAACACATTTTTTAGTGTTTTTTAGTTTGTAGGTAAAGCTTATCGGGAGATTAGAGGAAGCGCAAAGATCCGTCGATCTCGATTTCAAACCAAGGTAAGTGATTTTAATATTATTTTGTCTTTCCCTTCCTATGCATATACATACTAATATCTATTTTAAATCTTTTTAGATGCATACGAGAGGGAGCGGCCGCATGATCGGACTACCGAACATAATAGGGAGTACTTCTTTCTTTTTCTTTTACATTTATGAATTGCATTTACTTTATCACATTGCATATAGGGTTAGATTTATTTTTACGTCAGTCCCGGGACATGCATGCATTAATTCCTTTTCTATATTTTATACTAACACATTTTTTAGTGTTTTTTAGTTTGTAGGTGAAGCTTATCGGGAGATTAGAGGAAGCGCAAAGATCCGTCGATCTCGATTTCAAACCAAGGTAAGTGATTTTAATATTATTTTGTCTTTCCCTTCCTATGCATATACATACTAATATCTATTTTAAATCTTTTTAGATGCATACGAGAGGGAGCGGCCGCATGATCGGACTACCGAACATAATAGGGAGTACTTCTTTCTTTTTCTTTTACATTTATGAATTGCATTTACTTTATCACATTGCATATAGGGTTAGATTTATTTTTACGTCAGTCCCGGGACATGCATGCATTAATTCCTTTTCTATATTTTATACTAACACATTTTTTAGTGTTTTTTAGTTTGTAGGTAAAGCTTATCGGGAGATTAGAGGAAGCGCAAAGATCCGTCGATCTCGATTTCAAACCAAGGTAAGTGATTTTAATATTATTTTGTCTTTCCCTTCCTATGCATATACATACTAATATCTATTTTAAATCTTTTTAGATGCATACGAGAGGGAGCGGCCGCATGATCGGACTACCGAACATAATAGGGAGTACTTCTTTCTTTTTCTTTTACATTTATGAATTGCATTTACTTTATCACATTGCATATAGGGTTAGATTTATTTTTACGTCAGTCCCGGGACATGCATGCATTAATTCCTTTTCTATATTTTATACTAACACATTTTTTAGTGTTTTTTAGTTTGTAGGTGAAGCTTATCGGGAGATTAGAGGAAGCGCAAAGATCCGTCGATCTCGATTTCAAACCAAGGTAAGTGATTTTAATATTATTTTGTCTTTCCCTTCCTATGCATATACATACTAATATCTATTTTAAATCTTTTTAGATGCATACGAGAGGGAGCGGCCGCATGATCGGACTACCGAACATAATAGGGAGTACTTCTTTCTTTTTCTTTTACATTTATGAATTGCATTTACTTTATCACATTGCATATAGGGTTAGATTTATTTTTACGTCAGTCCCGGGACATGCATGCATTAATTCCTTTTCTATATTTTATACTAACACATTTTTTAGTGTTTTTTAGTTTGTAGGTAAAGCTTATCGGGAGATTAGAGGAAGCGCAAAGATCCGTCGATCTCGATTTCAAACCAAGGTAAGTGATTTTAATATTATTTTGTCTTTCCCTTCCTATGCATATACATACTAATATCTATTTTAAATCTTTTTAGATGCATACGAGAGGGAGCGGCCGCATGATCGGACTACCGAACATAATAGGGAGTACTTCTTTCTTTTTCTTTTACATTTATGAATTGCATTTACTTTATCACATTGCATATAGGGTTAGATTTATTTTTACGTCAGTCCCGGGACATGCATGCATTAATTCCTTTTCTATATTTTATACTAACACATTTTTTAGTGTTTTTTAGTTTGTAGGTAAAGCTTATCGGGAGATTAGAGGAAGCGCAAAGATCCGTCGATCTCGATTTCAAACCAAGGTAAGTGATTTTAATATTATTTTGTCTTTCCCTTCCTATGCATATACATACTAATATCTATTTTAAATCTTTTTAGATGCATACGAGAGGGAGCGGCCGCATGATCGGACTACCGAACATAATAGGGAGTACTTCTTTCTTTTTCTTTTACATTTATGAATTGCATTTACTTTATCACATTGCATATAGGGTTAGATTTATTTTTACGTCAGTCCCGGGACATGCATGCATTAATTCCTTTTCTATATTTTATACTAACACATTTTTTAGTGTTTTTTAGTTTGTAGGTAAAGCTTATCGGGAGATTAGAGGAAGCGCAAAGATCCGTCGATCTCGATTTCAAACCAAGGTAAGTGATTTTAATATTATTTTGTCTTTCCCTTCCTATGCATATACATACTAATATCTATTTTAAATCTTTTTAGATGCATACGAGAGGGAGCGGCCGCATGATCGGACTACCGAACATAATAGGGAGTACTTCTTTCTTTTTCTTTTACATTTATGAATTGCATTTACTTTATCACATTGCATATAGGGTTAGATTTATTTTTACGTCAGTCCCGGGACATGCATGCATTAATTCCTTTTCTATATTTTATACTAACACATTTTTTAGTGTTTTTTAGTTTGTAGGTAAAGCTTATCGGGAGATTAGAGGAAGCGCAAAGATCCGTCGATCTCGATTTCAAACCAAGGTAAGTGATTTTAATATTATTTTGTCTTTCCCTTCCTATGCATATACATACTAATATCTATTTTAAATCTTTTTAGATGCATACGAGAGGGAGCGGCCGCATGATCGGACTACCGAACATAATAGGGAGTACTTCTTTCTTTTTCTTTTACATTTATGAATTGCATTTACTTTATCACATTGCATATAGGGTTAGATTTATTTTTACGTCAGTCCCGGGACATGCATGCATTAATTCCTTTTCTATATTTTATACTAACACATTTTTTAGTGTTTTTTAGTTTGTAGGTAAAGCTTATCGGGAGATTAGAGGAAGCGCAAAGATCCGTCGATCTCGATTTCAAACCAAGGTAAGTGATTTTAATATTATTTTGTCTTTCCCTTCCTATGCATATACATACTAATATCTATTTTAAATCTTTTTAGATGCATACGAGAGGGAGCGGCCGCATGATCGGACTACCGAACATAATAGGGAGTACTTCTTTCTTTTTCTTTTACATTTATGAATTGCATTTACTTTATCACATTGCATATAGGGTTAGATTTATTTTTACGTCAGTCCCGGGACATGCATGCATTAATTCCTTTTCTATATTTTATACTAACACATTTTTTAGTGTTTTTTAGTTTGTAGGTAAAGCTTATCGGGAGATTAGAGGAAGCGCAAAGATCCGTCGATCTCGATTTCAAACCAAGGTAAGTGATTTTAATATTATTTTGTCTTTCCCTTCCTATGCATATACATACTAATATCTATTTTAAATCTTTTTAGATGCATACGAGAGGGAGCGGCCGCATGATCGGACTACCGAACATAATAGGGAGTACTTCTTTCTTTTTCTTTTACATTTATGAATTGCATTTACTTTATCACATTGCATATAGGGTTAGATTTATTTTTACGTCAGTCCCGGGACATGCATGCATTAATTCCTTTTCTATATTTTATACTAACACATTTTTTAGTGTTTTTTAGTTTGTAGGTAAAGCTTATCGGGAGATTAGAGGAAGCGCAAAGATCCGTCGATCTCGATTTCAAACCAAGGTAAGTGATTTTAATATTATTTTGTCTTTCCCTTCCTATGCATATACATACTAATATCTATTTTAAATCTTTTTAGATGCATACGAGAGGGAGCGGCCGCATGATCGGACTACCGAACATAATAGGGAGTACTTCTTTCTTTTTCTTTTACATTTATGAATTGCATTTACTTTATCACATTGCATATAGGGTTAGATTTATTTTTACGTCAGTCCCGGGACATGCATGCATTAATTTCTTTTCTATATTTTATACTAACACATTTTTTAGTGTTTTTTAGTTTGTAGGTAAAGCTTATCGGGAGATTAGAGGAAGCGCAAAGATCCGTCGATCTCGATTTCAAACCAAGGTAAGTGATTTTAATATTATTTTGTCTTTCCCTTCCTATGCATATACATACTAATATCTATTTTAAATCTTTTTAGATGCATACGAGAGGGAGCGGCCGCATGATCGGACTACCGAACATTTCTTTGTTTTTCTTTTACATTTATGAATTACATTTATTTTATCATATTGCATATAGGGTTAGATTTATTTTTACGTCAGTCCCGGGACATGCATGCATTAATTTTTTTAAAAAATTCTTAATTATCAATAAACATATTTTTTTCCTAATTATATCAACTTAGACTAATATAACTTATCTTCTAATTAAAAAATCACAAAATTTAATTAAAACTTAATATTAAAATTGTGGGCTGGTCTGGCCCGGTATACTTAGAAACCGGGCCATGCGTTGGTTTGGGTTTTCAAGCCCAATCCAGAATCAGGGCGGGCCTATCGGGCTTCAATTTTGAAACAGCCCGAGACAAACCAAAAAAATATTACTCTTTCTTTCTCGCAAAAAATGCACTAATTTTTTGCGTGTCGGAATGAGTAACATCTGCCTGAAATTGCCACATTTTTTTAATGCTAAATATGATGTCAACTTTCTCAAATAATGGAAGCAACATACCTTATGCTGAAGCTTTTTCCTTTAAATCCGTTGATATGTTGAAGCCTTTTCCAATAATACCTTTGTATCGAATTGCAATGTTGCTGCACTAGAGAAACCATTTCCCAAGCTTCCACATATAACTCCTAGAAGTAAGAGATTAAGTAAAAAAATTAAAAATCATGCGTACACTGGTATTTTCTATAACTGTTATTATGAAATTTCTTAAAGCATTATTATTACAAAATACAGCTTATCAAATTCTCTAAACTAAGACTACTTAGTACCAACTCACAAACAATTTGTTCATACCATATTTATTATGAAATATTTTTGACTTTTTTCTTTTACATTTATGCATTCATTTATTTTAGCATCTTGCATATAGTAATATAATCATATTTACGTCACGGAACTTACCTGCATTAATTTTTTATCTAAAGTTCATACTAAATTTTTGTTTAATGTACTGAATCTGTAGGTAAAGCATATGTGCAGACTAGAGGATCCCAAAAGATCCTACGATCTCGACTTCCAACCCAAGGAAAGTTATTTTAATATTATTTTGTTGTTTCCTATGCACATATTCTAATATATATTTTAAATATTTTTAGATGCACACGCGAGAGAATGGCCGGATGACCGAAGCTACAATAGGGAGTATTTTGACATTTTTCTTTTACATTTATGTATTGTATTTATTTTAGCATCTTATATTAGTAATAGAACCATATTTACGTCTCGGGACTTGCATGCAATAATTTTCTTTCTAAATTTCATACTAACGTTTTGTTTAGTATATTTAATTTGTAGGTAACGCATATGTGGAGACTAGAGGATCCGGAAAGATCCTTCGATCTCGTCTTCAAACCCAAGGTAAGTGATTTTGATATTGTTTTGTTGTTTCCTATGCATATATTCCAATATCTATTTTAAATATTTTTAGATCCATATGCTAGAGAGTGACCGCAAGACCAAAGCTATAACAAGTAGTATTCTATCTTTTTTTTCTTTTACATTTATGTATTGCATTTATTTTAGCATCTTTTATGTAGTAATAGAATCATGTTTACGTATCGGGGCTTAAATGTATTATTTTTATCTCTATATTTCATACTAACTTTTTGTTTAGTGTATTTAATTTGTAGGTAAAGCATATGTGGACAAGAGGGTGCGAAAAGATCCTTCGATCTCGACTTCAAACTCAAAGTAAGTGATTTTAATATTATTTTATTGTTTCTTATGCATATATTCTAATATCTATTTTAAATATTTTTAGATGCACACGCGAGAGAGTGGGCTGGCGCCCGGTATAATTTGAAACCGGGCCATGCCTGGGTTTCAATTTTCAAGCCCAATCTAAAATCAGGTTAGGCCTATCGGGCTTGAGTTTTAAAACGGCCCGAGCCAGCCCAAAAAAATATTAATCCCTCCTTCACAAAAAATGCACTAATTTTTTGCGTTACGAAGGGAGTAATAGCATAATGAAATTTGATGTTAAATATGATGTCAACTTTCTCAAATAATGGAAGCGAGATACCTTAAAATTTGAATCCATCGATATACTGAAGCCTTTTCCTTTAAATCCACATTTACGCTAAAACCTTTTCTCAATGCTTTTAGATATACCTCCTGGAAGTAAGAGATTTAAAAAAAAACAAAAACAAAACAAATCATGTTACATTGGTATTTCGTATAACTGTCATTATGAAATTGTTCAAAGCATTATTATTACGAAATACATTTTATCAAATTCTCTAAACTAAAACTACTTAGTACCAGCTCGTAAACAATATGTTCATACCATCTTTAACGTGCCAACGTAATTCAAGGGAAGAAACAAATGCCCGTGAGAAAATTATTAAGTACATAATGACAACTATTTTAAACGTTTTAAATAAAATTTGACTAGAATGTTGCTACCTGAAGTACAATTGGCAACTGTTCTGGTAGCTTTTATGTTCAGATCCATAATCAAGCCACATTTCAAAAGTTGCCAACCGCTCTGTAAAAAAATGGGTTCAGCTGTAGATAACAAGAAAAAACATATATAAATTAGGGTAAGGTATTACCTCATACATAAAATATGTGTGTCATTTATAAATTTCTCTATTCATTCTACATAACACTCCACAAATTCATTATTTAATAGTACTTGAACTAGGACATACATAAGATATTATCACAAACGGGTAATGAAAATCCAAATAAAACAAAGGTAATGGAGAAGAGGAATATATAATATAACACAAAAAAAATAGTGGATGTGTTGAGAAAATTACAGTTGAAAATTTTGAGGAAGCACAACAACGACGGTATTATTGTTTAAAGTAATATTATCAATAATGCGACCAAAAAAGAGCAAACAGGCCATGACATTCATCACAACATGAACCCAGATTTCAATATCTATTCCATCACATAAATTTTAACTTAAAATTGAAAGCAGATGCATAATTAAATAAATATCCACAGAAAACCAAGTCAGTTTTCTAGCAGAAACATAGGATCCATGTTTTGGGGAGAGTAAATGGACTGGTAAAATTCATATTTTGGAACACAAAATAAATCTGAATCAGAGAACGGTGAAACAGAAAGTATTTGATTTCAACCACACGACATTACTTTGCATGGATATCTGAGCGCCTAGAAAGAGTAATAATAATAAAGAGAGTAATCACCGTATACGCCCATGAATTTTGTCAGACCATAGCTCTTTCTCCTTTCTTATTCTCAAAATTTATCTCAAACATTTTAGCAAAATTCTGACCCAAACAATGTGAAGTTGCACCTTGCAGACCACGCCCGGTGTTTAGAACAAGCCTGCCATATAGCAATTTTATAAATAAATTACAAAGAAATGATCCCTTCAGGGATAGTTTGCACAGACTGTCCCAGAAGAGAAATATTGTATAATCTAATAGTATTGTAACCTCAACGTTTGTTGTATAGAGTCCCCCAGTAAACTTCTCATGCTCACTTTTTTTCCCCTTAATAACTGGAACAGCCAAGAACTCTTCATATATGCGTCTATAGAGTTCCAAAATGTCACGGACCTGAAAAGAATTGGACAAAAAGATTGTTAGTACGACAATGAACTACAACACCTTTGTTAGTGAAATATTTCTAGATGTAACAGTGCAGTCATATATAAAAACAGTAGAAAGTTTCATAACTTAATCCTGAATTGCAGATTCTGAGTACTATGGCAATGCTTTCAAACATACATACACAACCCAAAAAAAAGGAAAGAAAGAAAGAAAGAAAGGCATGATCATGTATACAACGGGTATAAATAGGCTAGCAAGAATATACCTCAATGTCTGCCTCTTCCTTGGTTGCAAAAACAGTATGTCCTTCTTGCCAAAGAAATTCACGACTCCTGCATAATCACTAGACATCAACTACAAAGTAGAACAAGGCTCTCAGTAGACTTTCTTACTTTCCAACAAATACCCATTTCGAAAAGATGAACCATTAAGAATAATTTCATGAATATTTTATATACAACCTGGAGAAGCATTATATAGAGTCCAGAAATTAAGAGCAAAGAACTTTTCAAGATGACTTTAGACTATTAAGTACCTGATAAATGGGGTGGGGTTGCTGAACTCCCATCTCACAACATTACACCACTGATTAAGCCTCAGAGGCAAGTCTCGGTGCCCCCTAATCCATTTGGAAAAATATGGATACATAACAGTTTCACTAGTTGGACGGATTGCAATAGGATTCTCCAGGTCAGATTCTCCAGATTTGTTACCATGCAACCTTGAAAGGAAGAACTAACAGTTAGACATTGATGACATGCTTGTCAAGCCCACAAGATCAGCATACAAGACTATAAAATGTCTTTCAGTTGCCTGCTGAATAGCACCAGAAGTCATGATAAAAGTTAGTATTAAATTGATTGCAACATCATCAACTGAAGTGCCAGTCAAGTGGTTGCAAAAACAAGCACAAAAATAATAAACATGAGTCAAAGAAGAGAATGAAAAATCTCACTAAAATTGTTTTGATAAATATAAACTTCACATCAATGCTACTCTTTTTCAACAAGCTTCAAAGTATACATCAGAATAAGAAAAGTCCTAGTTCACGAACAGGAGCCAAAATCAAAGTATTTACCTCGGGCGCAAACCCCTCTATCTGGTCTTTCTTTGAGGATACAAACAGGGGAAAGTAGCAGTTTTTTATTTTCATTTTCTTGATCTCAGCATCAAAGAAGGTCTGCAAAATAAATTGCCACAAAGTTAACCACTTCCTCGTAAGGGAGGACATTAATAGCTTTTCTATATGTCCATGTGAAATCTCACTTCCTCGTCCTTAGATTTCCAAATATAGCCACTTACAATCAATGCACATCAAACTGTGAAAGAGCAGATAGCTGAACCACTAGTATATTTATTTGTCTGATAATTACATTATCTTTCATAATACAGAGGAGATAAGGATTTTACCTTTCGATTCTTGAGCTTAAGCCCCATGTCCATAGATTTCTCTTGAAGAATCTTAATATCTGAGCTTATTGAACCAATTTCAGCCTACCAAACCAATACAAAGAAAATAGTTGTGAAATTCATAGAGAATAGTATAGCAACTCACAATAAGTAATTTACTAAAGCCAAGAAAACTGACTTAACAGCTTAACACACACAGATTGCGCATCTCCACTGGGGCATTATAACATTTGATTCATAGTTTATATTCTTTAGCTCTGGTTGATAGTTTGTGAAATATTTCATGACACCCAGCTAAGTCTTCTTATGAACAGCTAAACAATAATGGAATATGGCATCCCATACCTGAAATCCACTGAGAACCTTTTCCATTTGCGATAGGATGATGTCACAATCATGAATTTGATCATGAAGAGAAACTAAATTGACACTTTCTTTAATGTAATCCTGGCATCAAATAACAGATAGCAAATATCATGAAAGGTAGGCCAAGGTCAAACACTAGAAACACATTCCTGTCCAAGCAGATCCTAAATGTTCCAGAAACCATCACTCTAAGGGACAATTGACAGGCAACAAAATTGAACTTTCCAAAACATTTCTCCTCTGGACCTATGACATAGCCATAAAAGAAAATCTACAACGGAACAGAAATTCAAGGAAGATAGTGAGACTGAGTGCCGGATCAGAACCTCAATGGATTCGAGTTCAGATTGCCGTAAATTGTTCTCCACATCCTTCGTATAGTCTCGCGATTTCGTTCCTTTGGACAGTATGTTGGCAACTAACTTCAAGGCAGAGAGGAAAGTGCATATAGTGAATCATTCAAATGATGAAATAGCAAAATGCAGTAGATTACAGCTTACAAACCAACCTCGTCAGCTTTGCAATCTTCGAGCTCTTGCTCCAATCCTTCCAATGAGACATCGTCACCAACCATGCTTTCTCCAGATCGCCTCCGCTAACGTGCGATCGATGCCGAAACAGACGAAGCACGGGGTTAAACACGATGGTGGGGAGGGATCTGAAACGAATCGTCGATATCTATCGGCGCTGCACTCCTTGCGACGGAAGATGGTGATGAGGTTGAAGGAGACGGAGACTTGGGGACTTCGATTGTAATTGATTTTTCAGTGTTAAGTGTGTTTGTGAGGGGGTTTGGATTTTGAATTTGGGGGGTTTGTTAGTGGGTTTGGATTTTGAATTTAAAATTTTAATAGTAAAAATTTGAAAATTATTATTATTATATTTTGTAGAATGTATAAAATAAAATTTAAATAAAAATTTATTTTATAATTATTTTTTAAATAAATGATTTTTATATTAATTTTTAAATTATTTATTTGTATGTTTTAATGTGTTTATTTAATGGTATAATTTTATATTTTTTGTGAATTATGTAAAATTAAAAAGATATAACAAAGTAATATTTTTGTGTTTTTATTATTTCTATTTTTATATTTATATGTTTAAATTTTTATATTTTATTATATTTTTTAGTAGTAATTTTAAAAATTTGTGTATTATATAAACATTGAGTTTGTTTATTTAATTTAAATTTTCTAATTTTTAACTATGCGTTTCTCTCTCACAACCATTTCATCAAACATTATTTTAATATCAAATTCAAACCAAATTTTTCACTAAACCAATCAAAAGAAACAAACCCTTAATAAATATTTTTATTTGAAAATTTTCTTTTAAAGACTTGATTGTTTATAAAATTATTCTTTAAAAAATATTAAATCAAATATTTTTTTTTTAATTTTTTATGTTATACTAAATATGTCACATTAATTTTATATTTATATTTTGATCTTTTAATATATAAAAAAATATTTTATTAATACATTTATATTAAAATATATATTATTATTATATAAGAAATATATTTAAGGGCTCAATATTCTAATTTTGCCCCTGCCTAATAAAGGTCAAGAACGGGTCTAGCTGCACTGCTTGCGACGGAAGATGGTGATGAGGTTGAAGGAGACGGAGAGTTGGGGATTTCGATTGTAATTGATTTTTATCAGTGTTAAACACTATTTAGGTTAAGTTGTTTTTTTTTTTTTTCAAAAAAAATAATAGAAAATAAAAAGTTCATATAGTAATATCATAGGAGTGTCGATCCTTTCGTTTTTGTTCGTTCAAGATTTTTCTTTAATATGATTTCTATAAGTATTTTATATGTTAATTTTAATATAAAATATTATTTTTTATATTATAAAATATTTTTTTATATTTAATATAAAAGGTTCTTCAAATTAATAATAAAAATATTTTCTTACTATAAATAAGGTATATAATTCTTCTATTGTGTAAAAGTAGCCTAAAAAATATTTTTAGAACAAAGAAAATATATAATCCTTCTATCATGTAAAAGTAGCTTAACATATAGACAAAAAATTGATAAAAACATGAAAAATAAAAATAATTGAGGATATTTTTAAAAGTTTAGTCAATAATTCATGAAAATAAATAAATAGAATATTAAATATACTTATACATAGTTGGTTTTTAAAAAATTTACTGTTGGTTAGAAATAAATATAAATGTAAATATATTTGTAATTTAAAGTTGTTGACTTCAAATTTAGATTAAATTAGATTAAATCATTACAGCAGAACAACTTCAAAATAAAAGAATTGTAAATTCTCACAATATAAGTTAATTGGTTGTTCATTGGACACAGTTAACAATCTGAAAGCGAATACATATTGGTGATCACAAGGACGAAAATTACAAAATAATTGATAATTCAATTCGACTGTAGCTAGTCATTTAGGGTTCCAACCTATATAAGATTCACTGTAAAAACCATTGAAGCACAAGAATATTTTGATACAATGTAAGTACACACTTCAAGAAATCAATACATATTTCTTGATTGTTTCCCTCAACGTAAAAGCTATCTCATATTTTCACTCTCTCAATGTTCAATAATCTCTTTTTTTCTCTATCAACACAACTAGAATATTTTACTCTTATTATATTTTCTCACTCGCATATATAATCATCTAACAAATTCAATCAATAATAGAATCTTTTTGTTTCACTATTTATCCATGCCTCCACTAAATTTGTTACAACCAAAATATGTCATTTCATCGTATTGGGGACAAGCAACTCTATCAATTTTGATCACTTTCCCGTGTCTTTGTTGGATTAATCAATTTTGAGTTATCTTCTTATTTGATAAGGCTCAAGACTAATTGAGCTAAGTCTGTCCATCCATCAATTTTTATTTATCTGTCTTTATTTTTACATTTTCATTTTATCTGTTTCTATTTCTTCGTACTAAATATCCAATTTAGAAATAGAAAATTTAGTATCTATTTGCAATTTGACTGCGGCTAAAAAAACACCATTATATAAAGACAATTGAAGAATTAGACGCACAATTTATAAAAAAACTAGGAACAAATTTGATGCAACTATGAAAATATAGAAATTTTAAGCAATTTTGTGAAATCAACGGTGAGTTTTAAGGATTTTACGTAAAATTCAACTATGACTTAGTTTCCAGGTCAGTTGCAATATCAACTCCGTTACGTCTACGTAAGCAATTTCCGTTAGATTTTTAACGGTGGAATCAAAATTGATTGAAATTTTTTATAACGAGACCAAAATTGATTGAAATTATTTATAATTTGACTAATATTGACGAGTTTCTTATAATATGACCAAAATTGATAAATTTTGGTTATATTAAACCAAAATTGATTTTTTTCCAAAAAAAAAATGTATTTAATTTAATATTTTATGAAAAAAAAAATAATGTAATATTTTTTTATAAAGAAATAAATAGGATTGAATAAATAAAAATTAATTATATAAAATGAGCCTTAAATAACTTATAAAATAAAATTTTTAGCGGCCAATGTTCCGTGTATTTTCATTAACAATTTATTCTCAATCATTCTTAAACCCCAAATTCCATATCAAATAACAAGATTAATCATTAATTCATTCATCACACAAACAAATTATATATATATATATACATATATTGGTGTGTGATTTAGAATGAAATAATGTGGAATTATTTCAAATTTCCCCTTTTTCTTTATATAAACAATATGTGGATCCTACCATTATATTTTATAGTATTATTCGGTTATTATAAAATAAATTAAATAATATTTTGAATTCATATAAAAGAATATTATATATCAAAGGAACATAATAAACCATTCATTCTCGTTATCAATTACCCTAATATATTGAAAAATAAAATTTAAAAATCAAACAAAGATATATCATCAAAATGTAAAAAACTCATCAATGAATATAAATATCTATGAGTTTTCAATAAATAGCTCTTTTAAACTGAAAAATTAGAGAGCAAGGGTGGTGCAGATGTACAGATTGTCATTGTCAATGTCGTCGGCGCCGCCGGAAATTGCGAAAGGATCGGATCAAGCGGCGGCACCACCACCGGCGGCGGCAGCGGAATTGTCGAAAAATCGGGATTCCGAGCGGAATCCTCTCGACTGCTGCAATGCCTGTGCGAACGTTTGGTACTTGCTTATGTCTGCATCGCTTACGCTCCTTGGCGCGTATTTCATTGACTTTTCGAAGTGAGAAGGCGTGATCTCGGCCACCTCGTCTTCGGTGTTGTCATCTTCCTCCATTGCCTCCGGATTCTCCTGTCAGTTCTTCTCTCATTCGGTGTCCTGCCAAAGACACACACATATGTATGCATGTAACAACTTGCAGAGCCATTAAACAAATCAAGCGAGGAGCTAATTATCTGTTATTCAAATTCGACTCGAACTTTATATTCTATTATAATAATTTTATTAATAAATAAAAACTTTGATATAAAAATTTATATACTACAAGTTAAATTGAGTTGCCCACTAGGCTCGTTTTAATTCTATAAACAAGTCGAGCTGTGAACGATCCGAATCGAGCTTGATTCGAGAGCTACTCCTTTCGTTTAACTGAAGCATTGGCTGGGTGTACTTGGCGAGGGCTCTGAGTCTGAGGTTGATGTCCTTCGAAACGGGGGATTAAGGCTTGAAGATTTGGTAGCGCGACTCCTCGTCGGGTAGCGGAATGTAAATGGGTTGGTCGAGTAGCCGGGGGAGATATAAACAGAGAGGGGGAGAGAGACGGAAGTCTAGCGGCGTGTTTGGTTTGCAATAATATTACCTTCATTCATTTTTTTCTAAATATGCTCCCTCCCCTTCCAATAAAAAAATATTTTTGTGTTTTGCATTAAATTAAAAATTAATAGTAATATTTTATTATTTAATGAAAATGTATAAGAAGTTTCAATTGTATGTATAATACTTTTTTTGTCACCCTCTAAATATTACTTACTTTTGCTGTCATTGTATTTGATTTTTAAAATATTTTTATATTTATATAATTTTTTTGTTAAGGTGTTGATTGAGGATTTATCGGCAGCATATTGATTGTCTCAATCAATACATGAAAATACTATAGATAACATACAAAAAAATATAACATAAAACATATGTTATATAAAGTATTAATATGTATTGTCACTTATATTTTTATATGTGTAATGTAAATTTATGTCTAATGCGTTTAGTATATATTACTATGCATTCAGCACGATGTTGATTATATTTAATTAGCATTGTAACCACCGTCACCGCAATATGATCATTTTAGGTTTAGGATTGCCAGGTTTTAAGTCCAGTCCGATTAGTTGGGCAGGTGGTGTGTGTGTGGCTTTCTTGTCGAACATTTTATACTCTGTAATCTGATTTAGCCAACTTCTTAATTAACTCATTGGGTAATTAAACATCAAACCTCAATTAATTGATATTGGGAGAATGGGTGCTGAACCAATAATCTTTTTGAGCACTTATTCAAGGGTCAACTCCCGAAGCGTAGTTATATCACAGTTATAACGTCGACTTGTCAATGAAATAAAAAATGCAGAGACCAAAACAATAAATGACAAGTTATTTGTTTACCCGGTTAGGATATAAATAATCCTACATCCGAGAATACCAATCCAGAAGAGGTTCATTGATCAGTGTTGATTAAGAACAAAACACCCAAAACTCTTTCAACCCAAACTACAATGCTAATTACCTAGGAAAATCTCTCAACAGGCATATGTTGTCACAAACGCGTACCGACAACTAACAAATAACTGGGCAGCTCAGATTCTGAATGTTCCCCTTATCGGAACTCCAATTTCCCTTCGACCGACGAACTCTCCGGCGAGATAGTAGTGTATATCACTAACTCAATGCAAGGAGATGGGAAGGGTTAAGGTTGAGAGAATTGTTACAATATTTCTCTCACTGCATACACTCTCAAAACCACTACACTCCCTCCTTTCCTTCTCGAGCTGTGTAAGGCAACCACAACAGACATGTTGCAGACATATAATAAATTCCCTTGATAAAAAAAAAGGAATAGTGTGTTTCTATTCATTTCTGACCACAAGAGGACAAATTCAAAGTATTCATTTTGTCTTGAGAAACCACTATTCCTAGGAAAGAAAATAAAAAGCAACTTAAAAAGACTGTACAGCTAGGTCAAATGTTATTGTTTTAAGAATCAAACGACAACAACAACAAAAAGAAAATTTATCAATATGTCAAACATAGGTGATGAGATTTTTCAACTTAACAATTGATATTTCAATCAATTATTATTATCATTATTATTTGATAACATGAGAATCCGCAAACACTACTCTTTGAGTACGTTGTGGGCAAACTCTCAGTCAAACCTCAATTATTTGATATTTTAATAGATTAATGATTTCACGGTTCATTATATTTCCCACCTTCTATTTATAGTTGAGTCGAATTTATATAAGTAGCCATAATGTCAATTATATTACAAAATTATGAAAATAATTTTTTTCCCCCAATATAGCTACGAAAAATATGATGAGTGTAACATGTGCTATAAATATTTTTTCTCTCTCTAATTTTTCTTTTTTTTTTTTTTTTTTGGTATAAAATTCGTAGAGAAAGGTTATTCATAATGGTTTGATGATCAAAATCTATCGCAAAAGCTTAAATTTGAGTTAATGATCGAGCTATACTTCATCATCAATACCCGCTCCTATATATCTTTTCAATATATTTGTAAACATGCGATGGTTTAGCCAATTTTGTTCGAACCAAACTCAAAATCCAAGGTGGATAAGACCTCTTCATTTTAATTTAGTTGTGATATTTGAGTTTTCCGGCTATATCTTTAATTTAATATGTTCCGATCTAGGTAAGTTTTTAGTATCGTACATACATAAAATTTGTGTGATTCAATACATACTTGGCTTGTACCCTCTAGAGGTTTGAATGTGATTTCTTGTGAGATTGTAGTGTACTTTTATAATAAATCGTGATAATTGAATAATAATAAAAGTATAATAATTATCAAGTAAACAAAATTATATATTTTAGAAAATTACGTAGAACACAAATGTTCGTCACAATGCATTAGTAATATTATGAAAAAAGAGAGAATTTTCGTGGTAAATATCATTCAACACGATTAAATGAATTTTCCTCACGTTAAAAATTAGGTTTTAATTTGTTCACTTAATGTCTTCGTCTTTTTTATTTCCTTTATTTATATTACTCCCTCCGTTCATCTTTTGTATCCAATTTACTATAGATACGAGAATTTAGGTAAAATATAATTATTAACTAAAATTAGGATATGTAATGAGACAAAAAATAATTTTTGTTTAATTATATTTGAGTTTAGGGTTTTAAGAATTTAAAACTCGTCGAGTTTGAGATGGATTAAGAGTTTTATATTATAATAATAATAATAATAATAATTCCTTCTCGTACTCGCCATAGATCTGCCCCCTTAAATTAGCATTATATTTATATAAATTTAAAGTTATTCATTTTTACAATTTACTTAAATTATACTTTAATTAAACATAAGTAATATTTCTTGTGCGTGTACAAAATAATCTTCATTTTAATTTGAGGATGTGCATCCAAAATTTAAGTAGTCCAAAATATAATCAGTCACGTAAACTTTGCTACCAAATATAATAATAATACTAATAATAATAATAATAATAAAATAAAATAAAATAAAAAATTGAATAGATACCACAAATATTTAGGTATATATTTTCATGACAAACTCTCCACTTACCCATCAATAAATTAAGATAGACTTTCTATATAATATTACCAAAAAATTATAATATATACTACACAAAATAAAATAAAATTAAGATATACAACTTAATATAAAAAAAGTAGAAATAAAAAATCAATGTTAAATATTATTTTTACATTAGTGACACATTTCCATACCTAATACTAAAAACATCTAAAATTTAAAATACTAAAACAAACGTAATATACGAATTCAAAATTTTTTTTTGACGTGTATATCACTAAAAAAAAAAAAAAAAAAAAAAAAAATAGTATATTTGTAACGGAATTTCGTCTTTAAAGTTCACGTAGCTAACGTAATTTCATCCCTAATTCCGTCTCTAATATCATTAGTAATGAAAACAATAGATTTAAGAACGAAAAAACTTCGTTACAAAATTGATATTTTCTTGTAGTTATATATTTTATAATTATGGAATTGTCCTTTTTATGATATATATATATATATATAATGTTTTGATTTAAAAAACAACACAAAATTAGCTTAGTATTTTAATTGTACGGTTTGATCTATTTGAACTCCAAAATTTACGTATATTTACGCATATGGTATTAGGTGGTGGCATACGTTTGTTTACCTGTATTTTTTTCAAATTTTTTATTATTTAATTATTTAAGTTATCTCTATAAATATCATATTTTACATTTATAATTTATTCAAAATTTTATATTTAACTAGAATTTTACTTCAAAAATCTCAAAATAAAAATATAATAAATTTTTTAAAAAAAACAAACAAATAAAAATCAAATCAACGTCGTCATAACATGGCATTCCTCTTTGTTAATTTTGCTCACTTAAGAAAGTATTGAATGTTATAAGAGTAGCAGTTTTGAATTTTTATGGGGTAAACTGATTTTGTTGTATAGTTCTGCAACTGGAGAATATGTTGCAAACTAGTCCCGTAAATAAAAAAATTTATAATTTTAGTTCTTCAGCGGCGGAGATGCCTACTTAGCTTGTCGGAGGACACATGTTCGTCAGATCAGCAACACCTAGCAGATACGTTATATTTTTTTAAAATTTATTTTTAAAAAAATAATTTATTTATTGTCTTTTTTATAAAATTAACCTTTAAAAAAATAAAAATCAAAATCAAAATCAATAATAATACATTTGTTCTATAAGAAGAGTACCATGAGTTTTTTTAGGTTGATCTTTGAATATTAATTATTATAATAATTAAGAGAAAAATACAAAAATATCTCTATTAGTCTCTTATAATACAAATATAATGATATTGATAGAGTAAATTATACAAATATAAAAATATTTTTAATATTAAATACAATGACGCACAAAACAAATGATGGTCTTTATATATGGAACGGAAGTAGTAATAACTATTAAAACTATACCACCTAAAATATTGGGTAACAAGCAAACAAAAATAGGCAAATGGAGAATAGTTTCTGCTAATTCACTATATATATATATATATATATATACTTCTATAAATAAGTCTACTAAAATACACATTTGTATGTATTTTAAGATCAATAGAAAGATCAATGTTGAAATTTCTTCTTCTTGATGTGCTAGTAGTAACTTTTCTCTACTTCCTTACTCGCGGTCTTATATCGATCTTTTCCGATGGTAAGACGGCAAAAAAGTTGCCCCCCGGCCCCCGGGGGTACCCGATTGTGGGGTCGCTTCCGCTCTTGGGTGCCATGCCGCACGTAGCTCTTGCTAAAATGGCAAGAACATACGGGCCGGTCATGTACCTAAAAGTCGGGGCATGGGGTATGGCCGTTGCATCCACTCCCGATGCCGCTAAAGCATTTCTCAAGACCCTCGACTCAAACTTTTCCGACCGCCCACCCAATGCGGGTGCCACGTTGCTCGCGTACGGCGCACAAGACTTGGTTTTCGCGCCCTACGGTCCCCGGTGGAGGTTGCTGAGGAAAATCAGCAACCTCCACATGCTAGGGAATAAGGCCCTGGGGAAATGGGCCGGTGTTAGGTCGTCCGAGATGGGATACATGCTCCGGGACATGTACGAGACCGGGTTGAGTCGACGGGCGGTGTCGTTACCGGAGATGTTGGTCTATGCCATGGCTAATATGATAGGTGATGGCCTTAATTCTGATGTTTTCTTTTGAAGTTTGTTTGATTTCAGCTTTTTTTTACTATACAATTTTTACGAGATTTTTACAAAAATATAATATATTTGTAAAGGACAACATCTAAATCACTATTTTTTTTTACGATGAAATAAGTCGCTATCTAAAAATGCGCACCAGGTAGATCCCTGTTGAAATTACAAGTAGTATAAAAGATTGAATCAAACTCCAAAAGCACACACTATTACTATTTTAAATTATTTATTAGTAATTTGTATCTACATATTCGTTCTGTTCACTCAATATTTTTTTAATGAAACAATTCTCAATAAATATTATTTAAAAATACAAATATACACACATTAATATATATTATCCATTTATAAAAAGAATCATTCGACACAAAATATTATTTTTTATATTTCCAACACAGCTCCTCATATTACACACAAAAAACAATTCATCTAAAAAAAACATTGAGTGAACATATTGATTGTATTTATTTATGACATATTGAATAGTAAAAAATTTGAATTTGAATATTTGTATGATGTGATATAAATAGGTGTTGATGTGATGTTTTGAATGTAAATTGATTTTTAATAGTATAATATAAAAAATAAAAAATAAGTGTTCGATTTGATGTTTTTGGGAAAAAATGAGATAATAGTGTATGTAAAATCCAATCCCCCAAACAAACAAATTACATTTACTTTATAAGATAAAATTATACTAATATATAATATTATTTTAATAAATTATATAATCATATGATAAAATAATTCAATATTTATTTAATTTATTATTGTAATTAATTTTTTAGCATTAATATATAACACCTTTTAATATGTTACTCCCTCCGTCCGTCAAATTTATTCCCACTTTTCTTTTTAATATGTTCTTTAAATTTATCTTATTACTAATTTTGGCAAAGTCAATAAATCAACATTTAATTATTACTTTTTATTCAACACTTATTTACAACAAATACCACTGACTTTATTACATTCCCATTCTTCATTTACTTTAATTTCTAGCTAAATTTTTAAAAACACCCTCAACTATCTATCACTTTTTAATAAAATATTCATTTTTCTTAATCTCTGTGCCGAACCAAATTGTGCTAATTTTAGTGGACGGAGGGAGTATTATTTTTTCAAATATAATTTTATTGTGAGCTATATTAATAAATAGGGTAAACTGTTTTTTTAGTCCCGTAACTGAAACCCCTTATCATTTTAGTCCCGTAAGTGGAGCCTGTCGCAAACTAGTCCCATAAATAAAAAAATTTCGCTGTTTTAGTCCTCCGGCGCCGGAGACGCCCGCGTGGCTCGCCAGAGGTGACGTGTCCGACAGGTGTCCCGCCAGGTCAGCGACACCTGGCGGACACGTGGATTTATTTATTTTTTTTCAATTTTTTTTTTATTTTTAAAAAATTAAATCAAATTAAAAAATTATAAATATATAAATAAAATTAAAAATAAGTTTTAAAAAAATATAAAAAAATTTTAAAAAAATCCACGTGTCCGCCATGTCAGCGCCAGGTGTCGCTGCACCTGGCGGACACGTCACCTCCGGCGAGCCACGCGGGCGTCTCCGGCGTCGGAGGACTAAAACAGCGAAAATTTTTCACTTATGGGACTAGTTTGCGACAGACTCCACTTACGGGACTAAAATGATAAGGGGGTCCAGTTACGGGATTAAAAAACAGTTTACCCTGATAAATAAATAGCAAGCATATGATCAAATTAAATAGAATAATATTATTCATTCTAATAATTCAAAATAAAACACTTGTTTATAAAATTATTCTTTAGTTTAAGTTTACTTGGTGATTCTATTTTAAATTTTTTTCTAATAAAATATACTATTTTAACAGGACAAGTGATACTCAGCCGACGAGTGTTTGTAACCCACGGACAAGAAGTAAATGAGTTCAAGGACATGGTGGTCGAGTTGATGACAACGGCCGGATATTTCAACATAGGGGATTTCATTCCGGCGATCGCTTGGATGGATTTGCAAGGGATAGAAAAAGGGATGAAGCAATTGCACAAAAGATTCGACAATTTGATCGGTAGAATGTTGGATGAACGCTCCTCCGAAAATGTCCACCAACGCAAGGCCAACCCGGATTTTCTCGATGTTGTTATGGCGAACCGGGACAATTCTGACGGGGAGAAGCTCACCACAACCAATATCAAAGCTCTCTTGCTGGTATTAAAATTATTATTTTATCCTTTTAATTTTTATTATATATATTAACTGTAAAAAGTTAAATTAAAGGTTAAAAGAAATTAGAATTTTGTTTTACTATTTTTTTCTTTTATTTTAATCTAAAGTTCTCGCAATTACTAATAAAAATATATAATATGTTATATATATATAATCTTATTTAAACTTTATTTAAATAAAAAATTAGAACAAAAACAAAAAGATTATATGACCAAATAAACACGCCCTTATATGGCTAATAGAATTTGCAATTATTTAAATTACATATTTTACTATAAAATATAAAAAATAAACATTTCATCACATCACCGATAATTGTATCCCGTAATGGATGGCCTGGTGGTTTGGAGAGTAAACCCATGATCGAGAACCCCGATGCCTCCAGGTCCACCTGTGAATGATATGTACGCCTGATATTCATTTTTTTTATATCAGCTAAACTTATATATATTCTAAATAAATTTTACATAATACTCCATTTTATTTTTTATCTACACTATTTTAATATTAAAATATTATTATTTTTTAGTTTTGGGGACCAACTAAAATTACATAATATGTTAGGGCGAAGGGAGTATAATTTTATTTTTTTTTTCTGATGATTGTGTACGTAGAACTTGTTCACGGCGGGGACCGACACATCTTCAAGCACAATAGAATGGGCGCTAGCTGAGATGATAAAGAATCCATCGATCCTAAGGCGCGCCCACGGCGAAATGGATCGAGTAGTCGGCCGAAGCCGGCGCTTGGTGGAGTCGGACCTCCCTAAGCTCGCATACTTGCGGGCCATATGCAAAGAAACCTATAGAAAGCATCCATCGACCCCATTAAACCTACCCCGGATCGCGTCGCAAGATTGTGTGGTCGACGGCTACTACATTCCAAAGAACACGAGGCTTAGTGTCAACATATGGGCTATTGGAAGGGATCCCGAGGTTTGGGAGAATCCACTCGATTACAACCCTGACCGGTTTTTGTCAGGGAAGAATGCCGAGATGGATCCTCGTGGACATAATTTCGAATTGATCCCTTTTGGGGCCGGGCGAAGAATATGCGCCGGCGCGCAAATGGGAATGGTGCTTGTGGAGTATATATTAGCTACATTAGTGCACGCGTTCGATTGGGAGTTGCCGGAGGGCGTGATGGAGATGAACATGGATGAGACGTTCGGATTGGCCTTGCAAAAGGCCGAGCCTCTTGCGGCTAAGGTCACCCCTCGACTACCTCCACATTGCTACGCTCCGGCTTGAGCTACTCGTCGCGCTCGTGTGCACACATATATATAATATATATATATATATATATGTATTATCAAGATACTAGATTTACGGATATTAATCTATTGGTATCGGATTTTACTACACAAATAATTCTATTTTAAGATTTACTTGCATAAAAAACCTATTTTATGTTCAAAATATTGTAGTATAGAGACGATGATCTTGAAATCCTAAACAATAGGGATATCATGGCTCTGATACCATATCTAAGAAGGGATTTGGGGTTCGAACTTAAAACCAATTGATGTTAAGTTGAATAGCCCTTCACGCTTTTAGTAGTATGGAATTCTTATATTTTTCCTATTTGAAACAATATTTAACAAAATAATACTCCTTTCGTCAGCCAAATTTTTTTTCACTTTTCTTTTTCGTCCGTCTGTTAAATTTACTCCATTACTATATTTGAAAAAATAAAAAGTATGTATTTAATTATTATTTTTCATTCAATACTTAATTACCATAAATGTCAAAATTTTATTACATTATCTTTTTTTCATTTTTTTTAGTTAGTAACTAAATTTTCAAAAATACTCTTTGTTAAATATATCTCACCTTGGAAAAATGTGGGATCACCCTTTGGTTTATAAGGGTGAAGGCTGCTCTATCTATCATCAATTGATTTAAGTTAGAAGTTCAGATCCCTTTTAACACTCTATTTTTTCAATAAAATATTTATTTTTTTAATTATCGTGTCGAGCCCAAATAAGCTAAATATAGCGGACGGAGTATATGTTTATTATAAATTGTACAGATCAATAATATTAATTTGAATATAAAATGATAAAACAATAAACCCCAAATCATGAAAGAAATTTGTAATTATAGATCAAAGATCATACAAACCACAATCAAAATTTATCAATCCAATCCAAACCTCGAAAGAAATTTATGAATATCGAATATTGTTCGGATTTACAAGACTTTGAAGAGGTCGCCTCGCACGCCCTTCCCCGCCAGCTGTCGACAGGCGGAAGAGCAAGCGATTGTGCATCCAATCTCGGCTGCATCGTCGAGCTTCATGCATATCGGCACGCACTCGTTTATGCATTCTTGCAATTTGTTGGGATCAATCGACGAACTTACCCTCGCCATTAACGATGAGAATGCCAGCAAGATAATAATCGCCGTTGCGATTCTCATCGTCGTTTATATTGACGGATCGAAATTAATTCATTATATCGATGATCCTGGAATAATATTGTAGCAAGGTTCGATGGATCGATCACTCATTTTAATTTCTTGGCTGGATTGTGATTAGGGAGACTTTGAATTTATATTATTGGTATGTAAGGTCAAGAGTGAAGCTTGGAATCCCTTTAATTAATTTGCATTTTATTGTTCAACTATTTTTTATTTTCGAAATTTGGGCTCTGTTTACGCAATACACTTTTATTCATTTTTAATTTTCAATATTTATTTTTTAAAAAAATATCACATCAAATATATTTTTTCTCTCACAAAACATCAAATCAAATATAATATTTTATTTTTTTTCAAATTTTCAAATTTTTAAAAATCTTCAAAAACCGCTTATCTGAACAAACCCAAATTGTTCATTATTTTATTCTGTAAAAATAAAAATAAAATGCATAATAACAATCTCGACCTTTTATGTATATGAATTCAAGTTATGTTTTACCATCATGTTTAAATTTTTATCTTTATTTCAAAAATTTATATATATATATATAAATTTATTAAAATTTAAATATTAAATTTTAAAATTGGATCGGACCGGATACGGTCTCACCCTTATGAGTCCGGGTATGGCCCGATTCATTATTGTGTCGGGTCAAATAATGTCCGAAAATTTTCGAATATCATTTTTAAGTCTCGAGCACGAATTTTTCGTACATGCTCTGACCGGGTTTCCAAACCCGTATTTATTTTTGACAAACCTATATACTCTAATCCACACTATAAATAGTTCCTTTTTAAAATCCTTGGACCAGGCTTTCGAGCTTAATTTATTTTTGACAAACCTATATATCCTAATCCACACTCTAAACAGTTCCAAACCAAATTGGTAGACCCATATTGAACTCTCAAAGCTTGTTGGACCGGGGCGGTTATACTCATGGCCGGACCGGACCGCTTGAATCCAAATCTCAGAGGCAGAATACAAAACAAAGTAGTGTCGAGAAGTGGTTATGCGGCGTTGAATGCTAACATGCGCCTCCTCGTCGCCAAACGCCTTTCAGCCGCCGCCGCCGCCGCGGCAGTCGCAATTCCCCACAGCCGAAGAACTTTGACAACTTGCGCGGGTATTATAAAACTCCATCGGTCGGATTCCCCTTCAATTTGTGGCTTTCTGGACTCGCCATGGTCCGCCACCCAGCTCCGCGGCGCTAGATTCACAGGCGGCGATGTACGTCTCTATCTTTGCTGTTTGAGCTCCTGTGTACTTCAATTTTACTCGTTTACTGCTTCGAGCATGTAGTTGCGGCTAGATTCATGTCTTGCACGGATTCAAACGATTCGATGTGCATATTTAACAAGCAAAAGATGCAATTATGCTAGCAGACACTTTTATTTGATGAATTAAGCTCTTCGCTTGGGAAAATTGAGTGGTATTTCATGTTTTTGGTCATTTGGTGCAGGTAAAGCCAGGAAATGTTATTGAAAGACGAGGTTAGAAAAATCAGCATCGTATAGTGATTCTGTGCAACATTTACAATACATACTGATGAATTATATCTTTTGGTTTATGTGCTGAGTGCAGGAAAGATTTATGAGGTAACTATTCTTCCATAAGTGATTTTTTTGGTTAAGGATTTAGGGTTCTTTGAGATTAGATCATGGCTCACATTACATTGAACTGAAATTTTGTGTAGGTTATAAAAGCACAGCATAGTACCCAAGGAAGGGGAGGAGCTATAATACAGGTTTCCAGCTATGTTTGTGTACTTTGGAATCGTCAGCTTCCTTTGATCAATAATTTAAGAATTTTTGCTCAATCATTTATTGGATCATTGTTCTTCTTCTTTATTCTGTTATTATTATTATTATTTGGTAGTGATGTTGAGATTCTGAGGCAGGTCAAGTTTTTGTCTAGGAAGATTTGTAATGTTTCTTGAATTGAAGTTATCCTGTTCTTCTTGAGTGAATGAAACAGGTGGAGCTTCGTGATGTCAATGCTGGAAGTAAGGTGAACGAAAGGTTACGCACAGATGAGCCGGTTGAAAGTATGCATTTTTCATCATAGTTCTAATAGGAATTTGGGAGAGAAAGAAATGACAGTAGAAAAGGCCCTGTGTGGTAGTTGTTTTTCTGTTTGTTTCGTGATGCGTCACTATTGATGATTAAATCATGAAAACTTGGTAAACAATTTAGAAATTAGATTATTAGAATAATTGCCAAGTTCCATCACTGATTATTACGGAATAAGAGTGGTAAGTAAAAATAAATAAGTCATCATTCAAGGTGTATATTTAAAATATGTAATAACTTCATTGCAAAATTGACATTCACAATATAGCAAGGGCACAGTTTCTAGAGTAACTCTTTACTCAATACATTATGTATTCCATTTGGTTCAAAATAACATGATAGTTTTATTCAGGGATATACGCTCAAGAGAAGCCATTCAATTACCTTTACACAGATGATGAATCCGGAAATATTGTGCTGATGGAGTGAGTGCTTCCTTTTCTTATACTTATTATTTGCTTATAACTTTTTACTCCGTGTTGTGCTTTCTTGAAGTAAAAGAATAACATATGTTATTATGAAATTTTCAGGCCAGAAACGTACGTGCAGTTGGAAGTTCCAAGACACTTATTTGGTGAATCTCTTGTTTATCTTCAAGGTAATGTTTTCTGACACCTTAGCTGCACATAACCTACGCTTTACATTCTGATGTTATTTTCATGGTTTCCGAAGTTAAGTAGTATGATATGTTAGTAGTTAAAATTGGAAATTTCTGAGAACCAAAGATTCGTTTTGTTCATAAGTAATATTTTCTCAATATCATCACATCAATTATTCACATCAATTATTTGATAATGGTCGTATTGCATAAATTTAAGTTTGCTTATGTGTCTAGCTGCCTACATGTTGATTTCTGGTCAATTAGCTGCATGTTCCTGCTCTTTGGACTTATGGGATTATTGAGAATTAAGAATCCTTCATCTTTGTTTGGATGGGCATTGATATCCAAAATTCCAAACTGAACACTTCATGATTTTTTTAGTTATTACTCGAGCAATGCTTGGTAATGAGATATTGATAACCTTCATTAATGTAAAAGTCACAGCATTGCAGATGTTTAATTAAAAACTATTTAATATGGCATCATTCACTATTTTACCTTATTTATAAGTTTATGTATTTATATTTGCTCTTTGTATTAGTAACTTACAAAAAATTATGAGAAGCTATCTGTAACATAGTGTCGAGGACAGTATAGTATAGGCTGCATTTAGATGTGTTTTGTAAGTATTTTGGTGCTTTGAGTTGTTTTGGGAATAGTAAAGTTTTGAATGGAAATATGTGTTGAATGTAATGTTTTGGATAGAAAATAGTACTTTATGTTAAAAATTGAGGTTGGATGCAAAGATTTCGAGGGTGAAATTTTAATTAATAGTGCCAGAACAAAGTTGATAACATATGTAAACAGAATCCATATTGCTGTGTTTCAATATCTTCCCACAATTTTTTTTTTTTTTTCCCTAAAGAAAGAAAAGCTGTCAGGAAGAGAACAAGTCTTAGCTACAATTTACACTTAGCTGATGATTTAGGTTCCGAAATCTATATGGCTTTTATAATTCTTTAGTGTAAATATATTCTCAGCTATTTGTCCATCAATGCTGTTAGCCCTCCATTTTTTGTAGATGATATGAGAATAAGTGTTCAGCTCTACAATGAACAAGCCATGTCAGTGTCTATTCCTCAAAAAGTAACATGCACAGTAGCTGAAGCATCTGAGGCATTAAAGGGAAGCGGACCCACACCGTAAGTATATCTGCTTGTATATTATCAAATGTTCTTTAATTTGTATCAGCTATCAAAATTGTCAGCTTTTTTTCGTTTCTTTTATCTTTTTCGACTAACAAATGTTGCATGCTGCCTTGAATGTGGTTGGAAGGGCAATTACTTGGTCCTCCAATTATTTTCACCATGCCATGTTTATAAAATATTAGCAAAAAATTAATAGAGCACACTTTCTCTTTTGGGAAGTATATCTCTTCACACTATGATGCACTTACTTGTCATGTCCCAACCACAGTATGATCAAATTGCCCACACCTTTTCTGTGCAAGGAGCTAACGACACTTCTTTAAAAATACTATGGATTGAACTCTTTGGGAAGAACTAAACTGACCAAATCGTATAGGTGTTCTCCACTAAGTTCATATCCTGGGAAATTGGTCAAACCATGTTGCATTGCATGCCAAATAGTAGCAAAATAAGGATCCCGCTGCTACTCTGCCATATATCAATGATAATCTTGGGATATTTCGTCTTACTTATTCATAATGCAGGTACAAGAGGGTCTTGTTGGATAATGGTGTGACTGTTCAGGTAGAGTGCTCTAAAGCCCTTCAATTTCGACTCGTTTATTTTTCTAATGAACTAGCTTGGCTACATTCCCTGAGAATTATTATTCTGGTCGAGTTTCAAAGAAAGTGACAAATTGGACAGACTGATATATCAAAAAAATATACAACTGATCAAATATTTTCTATATGACTACTTAATAAAAGTTTCTATTATTAAGAGTCCAAGAGCATGCGAAAATCAATGAGATTTTATTGAAGAGGTTAGGAAATGAAGTTTTGGATGTATAAAGGGCTTTTTTCGTCTCAACTAGATGTTTGTACTTCTTTGCTGTTTCCAGTTTGAAGTTGTTTACTACCTAAAGACGTGTTCATAATTCATCTTATCGTACCTGTCGTATTTCGTGCTGACCTTTACGATTTATTTTTTTCGATATGCTGTGAAAATTATAGATATCCAGTAAAAAATCTTAAAATTCACGGGCATTATTGCTAACCAATTTTTTGTGTAGATTTCGCATAGCAAACGACACATTTCAGAATTTTCTAAATATTATTCTTTCTCCTTACTCTTTACATATTTCCATTGTGAACATGAATAAGTTGGAGAGTTGTGAACCAAGAGCAAGAAAATTGTCATTTGCTATGAATTTCGATTTACATTGTTCTGGGGGAGGTGTTTGTTTTCTTTTCGGCTGATTATTGAAATTCCTCCTAAACCTCGTACTAGTTTTATCTTCTCTAATGCAAATTCTTTCGGTGTCTTATATCAGGTCCCCGCCCATGTTGAAGCTGGAGATAAAATTGTGGTCAATACAACCGACAACTCTTATGTAGGCAGGTTAGTGCAAAACCTTGCAATTGCAACGCGCGACATATCTTCTCAATTTTTTTTTCCTTCGTGCTGCATTTCGCCTTACGGAATCAGGACTTATATACTGGATTCATTTTGGTGCCATTCTTGAATAATTTCGAATTGAATTTTCAAGCTTCCAATAGTTCTTTCCTCGTGCATGACTAATTCTATATATCGTTTCTCAGGGGCTGAGTAAGAAAATCCTCGTTGAGTTGTGACATTTTCGATTCATTTTCTGGAGAGACAGCTCGAATCTTGTAAGCTCTAACTTAGCAGTTTTCAATAATCTTGGGGGCAAAACACTGCACTGTGTCCAAACACAATAATGATAAAAACTAATAGATCCTCCATACTTTGGGGAGCAGTTTTGGTAATAAATAGGCTGCGGCAAACCAGTTGAGGTCGAGGAACTCGGTGTAGAATTCACGCGGCTTGAGGGTCGTAAGAATACTTATTTTTCATACAAAACATAAAATATTTGGTCGAGGAATTCACCGAAGAATCTTGATCGGTGTGGCTTATTGTAAGAACGTTCATTTTTTCAAACAGTATGCATAAAATATACAAACAGTATTTGTCTTTATTAGAATCAATATGTGCTGTTTGTATTTGTTTATAATTACAACGTGTTATATAAGAGTGTGTTCTCTGAGTTTATATTATATAATATTAATTTATATGTTGTATTTGTATTATATTAATATAAATTATGTGTTATTAATGTATTTTTTTAGTGAATTTATTGGGTGTTATGTTCCGCACAACACTGAATTTAGCATTGTAGCTGTGGTCATCCGATCAGCATGGAAACAGAACAGTGTAACTAAATGATTCTAACAATTAAAAATAACACTCCATCTGTCCACGGACAAAGTAAATATTTATTTTTTACATTGTGTTTAAGAAATGATATTTTTGTTCTTCCTTTCTAGTATAAAAGTAATGATGTGGGGTATTTAATTAAATGTTTATTTTGTAATCGGACGCCGAGTAAAATAAATACGCAATTACACAAAAATTAATTAAAAGAATCCAATTCAAACACATTAAATGCCAATCCAACTATAAAGAGAAAGAGAAAGAGAAATAGTGGAGGCCATCTCTAGCTAGGGAAGATGAAGGCGGTGGCGGCGGGGCAAATAAAGAGGGGGCCGTGGACGGCGGAGGAGGACGAGGTGCTGGCGAATTACATAAAGAGAGAAGGTGAGGGGAGGTGGCGGACGCTGGCGAGAGAGGCGGGGCTCCGGCGGTGCGGGAAGAGCTGCCGCCTCCGGTGGATGAATTACCTCCGGCCTTCCGTCAAGCGCGGCGGCATCTCCGCCCACGAAGAAGACCTCATCCTCCGCCTCCACCGCCTCCTCGGCAACAGGTACATTCCAATTTCTATAATAGTAATTTGATATGATATTTATTGAAATATTAACTATTGTTTCTCTGAAAATATAAGGCGAAGCGGTGGAGAGAAAAATAGTATTACCTCTGCCTCTAATGTGGCATTTACACATGTTAAAAAAAAAAAAGGAATTACAAAAATATTTTAAAAGGATATTTGTATAAAAAATTATAAAAAATATAAGGATATTTAATTATATAAATATAAAATATTTTTAATGTTAAAGTACAGTAACATAAAAATAATTGTGAGTGACCGGAGGAAGTATATATATATATATTTTTTTTTATGTGATGTGACGAGCTAAAAAGTAAGATAACAATTTGTTTTCTAATTTCTTGAGTATGGCGATGAATTTACCTAGATATAATTAATTTTTCATTTCTCATTTTCGAATTTATTATTCAATTCTTGTTGCTTTTCATTTTAGGGTTTATTTCCATCAAGAGGATCGAATTGGATGGTAGAATTATAATAAAATTTCTGTAAGAATTAAGGATTTGTTTGGTTTCAATCTTTTTATATTTTTCAATGCGTGCACATGGTTTTTAATAAGATATATAATTTTTTTAATTACAAAATATCTTAAAAATAATAAAAGTAAATATTTTAATAACTTTTATTGTAATTACTTTTTAACAATAGAAATCATGAAGGTAGTATTTTTTTTTTTGGATTTTATCTTATAATTCAGATTTTATTTTATTTTTTCAGAAATATCAAATCAAATAATTATCGAAAGCACACAACCTAATTACGAAGTAAAGTTTGTTAAATTATATGACAAACTCTTCGGCTCTAGCCTCTAGGGTATATTTGATTTGTATTGTATTTTATGTTTAAGCAACAATTAAATATAATACTCTCTCCCTCCCACTTTGATTAAGGTAAGAATATTTAGTTAGTTAATAATAATTAGTTACGATATTATTTTTTTTTTATAATTAATAATATTTATAGTTTTAAAAAAAAATAAAATATATATTTAAATATTTAAAAATTATATAGCAATTAAAAAATATATGGAATATGGATATCATTTTATAGAGAATAAAATTTTTTATAATACAAGTAAATAAAAAAATATATTTTTTATAATTAACATAAATTAATTTTATAAAAGATGTGTAATTTTAAATACATATAAAAATATTTATTTTTTTAAGAGAAAAATAGGAATAAAGGAGTTTTGAGCTAGTCTAGGAGTGGAAATAGGTCAGGCTTTGGCTAAATAGGCTTGGCCCGTTTTAAAAATATTACCCGAGTCTGGCCTAGAAGCCTGAAAAAAAATATTTTAAAAGCCTAAGCCTGATCTTTTTAAAAGTCTGATTTGGCCTACGAACCTGTTTAAAATGCTACATTATATATAAAAAAGAAAAATTATGTTTTTTCAATGACAAAAATAATAATTTTAGTTTTTCGTATAAAGTAAAATATATAATAGTAATAGTTTGCAAAAATATATATTACAATTCATAAAAAAGAAAAAAAAAAATTATTATCTAGAATTGTAAATCTGTATACACCATATAGGTTGTGGAAGCAACGGAAAAGAATAATGTGCAGAAAAGGTGTAGTGAAAAAATGGGACTATTTAAATTAGGGTAAATAAAACAAATAAATTGTGAGGGAAACAGCAACCGTTCATATATTGAAATTTTAAATTGAAATTTTAAATTAGAATAAAAGTCGTTTTTATTTTTTATTTTTATAATAAATTTATAATTAAAATCTTTTTAAAAATATTATTATATTTTTATATATCATTATTAGATATAAAACTATTCTTAATTAATAATAATGAGAAATATTTTTTTATAATAATAATATTATTATTATTAAACAAGTCGGCCTGTTTGATAAAAAAGGGTTTTTTTTGTAAGCCTATGTCTGTTCTATTTAAATAAAAAGGCTTTAATAAAAATCTGGACTTGACCTTTCTAATAAATAGATCAGATCAGTCCAGACTTTATGCAGGTAGGTCGTAGGCCCCTGACAGATTTTATGCAGGCCATAGGCCCTTGACAGACAGCCTGGCCTATTTCTACCCTTAGTTGGTCCTAATGTTGAATGTAATATAGTTAATTAAGTTGATTTATATTTGTTAAAAATATTTTGATTTAATAATTTGTACCAAAAATAAAAATGTGTCAATTGTAACATGACATTGTAACATGATAGAAAAAAATGAAAATAAATGTCAATTATGGTGGGACGGAGGGATGAAGTACTAGTTTATAAAAAAAAATTAATATCCTTTTATAAATTGTATTTATAGTTTATGTTTAAAAGGTTGTTAAATATGATATTTTATAAAAATATATATATACAAATATTTTTTTTATTAAAAGGAATTTGAAATAAATGCATATCATCTAATCATAATAAAAGTAAAGGGTCCAAAGCATTGTTTGCATTAATAGTTCACCCTATGGGATTATAAAGATTTATTATTTTAGAGTTTGATTTTATTATGTTTACTATACAATTATCGTAATATTTTTTTTTATAAAAATACACAATTTTCTCTTATAAAATACTATATCCAAGCCAATCTAATAACAAAAATAAATAAATAAAACTTCAAAAGAGCAACCTTGAAACTCCTTTTATATATTTCATATGTTATATTATTCTTCATTTTTAATATGTGTATATATTATGATTCATCCGTCTTAAAACAAAATTATTATTTTCTAATTTAGTAATACTCTTACTAACTTACAATATATTACACAAATCTTATTATTTTTATATTACACCATATTATATGGTATTTCTATCTTTTTTTACTAATAATCATTATAATATTAATATTCAAAATTTACGTACAAAAAGAAAATAGTACTCTTGTTGTGAAACGGAGATAGTATATATAATTTTTGTGTTGGTGTATATGTAGATGGTCTCTGATAGCGGGAAGAATTCCCGGGAGGACAGACAACGAAATAAAAAACTATTGGAACACGCATCTTAAGAAGAAATTAATTCGACAAGGGATCGATCCCAAAACTCACAAACCCTTACAAAACCCTAATTCCGAACCCTCAACCATCGATCTTCAAAACAATTACAACCTCATCAATTCTTCCTCCTCGGATCGCCAATTCTTGCCATGTCCCGGCTCCTCATCCTCGATTTCCGACTCCAATAATAATGTCCCATTTCCCCTAAACCATGTAATGATTGGGAGCACAAGAGATGGAGAAATCTATAGCTACGCGCAATATTTCTTCGATCATCATCATCAAAATGATGAGAATGGATCGAAAAGATTGGAAATCTCCGAGGATAGCGAGGAAGGAATGATCAGCCACGACGATGTGTTCTCCTCGTTCTTCGATTCTTTGATTAACGACGAAATGTTCGTGAACCAACAGCATCAAGATCAGCAAGAGCACGGGAATTGAAGTACACTTCGAATATTACGTTATTGTTATTTGATGTTCATCCTTTTTCATGTAATGAGAAATTTATTTGCATTCATCTGAATCAAGATTGGATTGTTGATTCTCCCATATGGCTAATGAGCAAATTATGAAGCGATAGACTTTGGAGATTAGGTCATTTTGGTTTGAATTTCATCTTCTTTACTATTTAATTCCCATAGTTTTTAATAAAAATATTGTCTCTACCGGTCGGTTAATTTGTCCACTTTAGTTGGACACGGAGTTTTATGTATTATGTAATTAATAATTTGTCTACTTTAGTTGGGGCACAAAATTTTAAGTATTATGTAATTAATAATTTGTTTGTTTTAGCTAGGGCACAAATTTGTAAGTACTCACTCCGTCTCATATCTATATATCAATTTGTTTTTTTTACAGAGTTTTAAAAATATTAGTATTATATTTAATAAAATAGAAACAAAGGTAAAAGGAATAAATTAACCCTATTAGTATTGTATGATATAAAAGGTAATGACATTTGTGTAATATATTGTAAATTATAGTAGTATTTATAATATTAGGTAGATAGTACAATTACTAAAAAAATAAAATTGATACTTTGTTATGGGACGGACCAAAATGGAAAAATGGATAGATTGTTAAGGGACGGAGGAGGAAATATTATGTAATTAGTAAGTGATTAAAAAATGTATTACTCAAAATAATGATATATTAAGATTATGACTAAATAATCTAATTTAAATAAAAAATATAATTATGAATTTTAAAATGTGATTAAAGTGTATAATTATATTTCCAAAAAATGAAAGAACAAATTATATGGGACGGACGAAAATAAAAATAGTTGACAAATTAAGTGAGACGAAGAGAGTATAATATAGTTAATTAAGTTAATTTATATTTGTTAAATATATTTTGGTTTAATAACTTTTACCAAATATAAAAATGTGTCAATTGTTACGAGACACACAAACATGAAAAATGTGTCAATTAAGTTGGGACGGAAGGAGTACAATATTATATTTTTTTCTTCTTAATTCAAAATATCATTTTTATCATTTTCGTTTGTCTCAATTAAAAGTACTGTTTTCTTATTTTAGTAAAAGTAATCATATATTAATATTAAAATATCTTTAATTTTTACATAAATTATAAATATATCATTACACATATAATTAATTTATACGTCAAGTTAAAAGACAAAAATGTCAAGTTCTAGGCATTTTCACCTACTAATATAATACTATTATATTTTACTCTATTACAAAACTATAAAGATGTCTTCGGGTGGGAGTATTTATTTGTAATATTTCTAAACAATTTTCTCATTAAATTTTTAATAAATTATAATTAAAATAAATAAATTCTACCATCATTTTCATTAATAACGTTAATTAATGAGATTAATTATGAATGAGAATGAGAAGCAATTTGTACCACACTCATATACATATGGGCCCTCTAGATTTAATTTATAGCTCATATATATATATATATATATACTATAATGTTGTAGTATTAAATTAAATAGCTCACCCTATTTATATATATATATATAGGAAAAAATCATTTTATCCCAATATAAAAATCTTATCAATTTTGATTTCAATATAATCAAAATTCATCATTTTTTGTCTCAATATAAACTTTTTATCAATTTTAGTCCCAATATAACTAAAACTTTATCATTTTTTGTCCCAATATAATCAAATCTTATCTTTTTTGGTCACACCGTCAACAAATCGACGGAAAATGCTGGCGTGAAAAGAAATCAAATCTTATGTTTATATTTGAACCTTATATTTATATTTGAAGAAATTGCACAATCTTGCAAGTCCACATCAGCATTTTTCGTCGGTTTGTTGACGGTAAGACCAAAAAAGACGAGGTTTGATTATATTGGGACAAAAAATGATGAGTTTTGTTTTATTGAGACTCAAATTGATAAAAAATATATATATATTTGGACAAAAAAAGATAAGGTTTGATTTGGGAAAAAAAAAATGATGAGTTTTGATTATATTGGGACTAAAATTAATATAAAAAAAAATTATATTAGGACCAAAAATGATAAATTTTAGTTATATTGAGACCAAAATTGATAAGATTTTTATATTTAGACCAAAATTGATGAATTTTTATTATATTGATTTTTTCCCATATATACACTAATACTAATATAACTAAACCACCAATTAATTTATTGATATTTCCTGTCATTTTGTATGTGTATATTTATTTTGAGGGATGAGTGCCTTCAAAATAATTACATAAATTTAAATTATTAAATTTTAGGCATAGTGCTAAATTTAAAAAATTCACCACCTATAAATTAATAATATTTATATGTTACGTATAATAGATGGACATGTATTTCTTGTCATCTAATTCTATTTTTTTTTTTTTTTACTTCCAAACTTTTATTAAAAATATAAGTTTTTTTTTTTACTTTTTATTATAAAAGATAAAAATAGTAATAAAAAAAATAATAATAATAAACATTCACATTAAAACATCCGTGAGCATTTTCTAGTAGTATATAACAGTATATTGACTATAGATTTATTGTAATATATATAAATATCTGGGAATTTGTAGACTTCAATATTTAAAAAAAAAAAAATGTGATATTTAGTTTTTTTAATATTTTAAATAAAATATTATTTTGATGCAATATTTTAAATAAATAAATAAATACTATACTTGATAGTTATAATTAGTGCAAGATATAGAATAATACTTCAAACAAATAAATTTGATTTGAAACTAAAATTTTTGTTTAAATAATATTTGAATGTAGTAAAAAATATAAGCAATGTTTTGAGTAAATAATAGCATTGTTTTTGTGTAATATATTAAATAATAATTGAACATTGGATGTATATTTTTTAGGAAAATAAAAAATAAAAAAATTATAAATTATTCCATTAATTTTTACATTCCTTTATCCAGACCTCACAACATCGTACCATTATACGGGGCGTGTACAAGCGACGAGCAAAGATGGCTACAATACATCTTAGTAAAAAGGTTGTCGTAGTTGTCATAAAAAAATAACATAAAAAGGTCGTCCTAGTTTAAAATTCAGTAGATGAAACACGCAAGCCACTCGGAAGCAACGAAGCACAAGATAACAAGGGAGCCGAGAGCGTAACATGCGCCGGGAGAAACCACGGCGCCGTGCTTGGTTGCTCCAATTATTCCGATCATACAAATGGGAACAACCGGCAGTGCAAGCTCAAGAACTCTAGAACATCGGTGAAAACGTTTTTCTAGTTTTACGAAAATAATAATAATAATAATAATAAATTAATTATTTGATAGAAAATTTGATGTGATTCTTAATAAATAAATATAAAAAAAAAAGAAAGAAAAATATATTGATGAATAGTATCAAAATAAGCGCTCAGCTATCTTTTTGACTGGTTGAACAGTTGGTCTCTCAGAGGAAATTCGACGTAAAATCTACTTCAATGTGGATAAGGTGAAGATTCTCCGGAGAATCTCATAACTAAGTCCATATGCTTCTCTTGCATAGATTAAATTGTAGTCGTTAGATCGAGAGAATCTTATCCGTCTGTTGGAGAAATGATTGTATATATAAGTATGGTGTAGAGTTCATTGGTAAAACTACCAAGCTTGCAAGCAATAGAACCTATTTATGAATTCTCTAGTTCTTGAGCTATTTCTTGCTAGACCAACAGAAAGATATTCAAGATCCAACGCTTTTTACACATACATTGCTAGATGATATGAAACATAGGATAAAACAACTAATTGCCAAGCCACACAACATAACTACCATTTTGTAGAACAATCTGTGAGCGAAAAATTGTAAAATATCATCCTTTTAAATCAAAAACTACTGATCCGAAGGTATTATTTTAACTACTGCATTTTATGCAAAGAACTGATGCTGCATACAAGAGGGGGGGTGGGGGAGGGGAATGAAAAAAGACCCTAGGGTAGCCATTATGCTGACCTTTTTTCATGCCGAATAGCAGACTTGAAAAAGATTACATCCTGCATACCTGGTTTAATTACATGAAGTGAAAATAATGTCATCCAAGTTTCGAAAAAACTATCTAAGAGGTAGGATATAGCTGCCATTGACAAATACATCATAAAATGCAGTAACAGTATGAAGGAAGAAACTCACTAACCTCGGATAAAGTCTTGAGGACAACAGCTCAGAACGGGGAACTCTGATGCACAGTCTAATTTTCATTCGATATAGGGGTGTTAAAAAATTACAGGAGGCATCACAGGAGTAAGTTCAAGAAACAAAAAGTAAACCACAAAAAATGAATTATACAGAATTCATTCTCAAAGAACAACACCACATCAACATGTAACGTAATTCCAACCAATTGGGGCTTTAAATTAGACATCGCACCATCTGGTCAAACGTTTCCCATAAAGACATTTCACTATTGTATTTCGGTAATAACTGCATTCTATACACATTCTCCAGTTCCACGCATGTATTTCCACAAATTCGACTGCCATCAATCTAAATTTCACGACACTTTCATATACTACTAAGCAGAGAAAGGCAACCTAAATAGAAAGGATGTGCCAAAAGTTTCGTGTAAAACTTGAATTTAAGATGCAAAAGGGGATAATTAATTAATTATAATTCATAAAATGATACACTCTGCTCATGCTTCGATAGAAAAGGTATGAGCAAGAACAAAGTCCAGATGCGACCATACGTCATATTGGCACTAATCCATTGCACACGGAAGACAGTAAAATAAGAGCATTGCAGCTTAAAGAGTTATTGCAGAGATCATCGTACGAGGTAGGCATAATTCAATCCGTCATGAACTCAACACCAACAAACACATTCCTGTTCATATAACGAATCTGTAGTCATATGGAATCATCGGACTCATCAGAATCACTACCATCAGGCTCCCCACCGATTGTCCCAGCTTGAGGCATATTAGTCTTTGCTGCAGGTGCAGCAACCACTTTCTTTCTCGTACTACGAGCATTTTCATCGCCATATTCCTCTGGCTCAGCCATTTCAATTCGTATTTCATCAGTCAAGGATTATTGACAACGAAACTATGTTAACCTAGTTCTCATGATAAAACACAACCATAGCAATTAACAACAATATTTTTACGAACATTTAGCCTTGTCATCACTGAAAGCCACAAATGTGATAATAGAGACATCGATATAATAAGGATATCAATATTCTCAGCAGTTCCGCCAGCCATAATGTTCTGCAAATCTTTCTCGACTCGACTGACAACCTCCGGCTGCAAAAACAAAACAATGCAGTAAACATCTGGGTTTAAAAAATAAATAACTTACAAAGGTTACAAATCGATAAACATTGTCAAAAACTGAAGACATTATGAGTCTACCATGCCCAAGTCTAACAAGCTTGCAATAAAACCACATATGCCTCATTATAGTAGTTAACTTAGGGCCCATCTTGTTCGATGAATTTGGATTTGAAATACTTAATAATTGACACTCATCGTTTGGCTACAAAAAGTATTTGAAATGACACAATATAATGAGTATTTGAAATATTAAAGAGTATGAACTTGAAATCCACATCCAATTTTGAAGATTTAAAATCCATCGTATTGCCAAATGAAACAAATGAAGTTGATGGAGTCATTTTAAATAATTTTAACCCAAATCCCTCCAAGCAAATGGGGCCCTAAAGAATTCACAAATAAATAAAAAAATTTATATCGGTTAGTGTTCAACAAGATATTCGTCTACCCTGTCTAAGCTTGTAGTGAAACATAATCCTCTCATGTAAGTACTACTTTGCAAATGTAATAAGTAATATCAAGTTACCGGCAGTGCTCAACAATTTCATCGAATCATCATGTATAAATATAATAACCTTGGTGAAGAACTAAGAAAACACTAAAATTTCAGAAAAGAGATTTTATATTACATTTAAATCAGGCTCTCGCCGAAACCTTCGCCTCCGAGCATCCCTCATTGGTGGAGTAAGTCCATGTCTATACTCCACTGTTTCCGGAACATTCTCACCCTCCTCTCTCACCATTACCATCTGCAACAACGAACTCATAAAAATCAAACACCATTACCAATCCTGAACCACAATTACAAGAATTATATAAATGATCACCCTACTTGGCCAATATCTGCAGTTTTGATCAGCACATTGTCATCATAAGTCTTATATGATTCTACAACTGTTGGAAGATCCAACAAAGAAGCAGAGAATCGATCACTGCCAATAACAAAGGAGCCAGTTCTTCCATCCTCTGAAATTAATATATATATATATGTGTGTGTGTAATTACAACGAAAAACAGTAGCAGCATAACAAGAAATAAAATCGAAGTATGAACAATGAATTAATTTCCTTGACATTACCAGAAAAGGACAAATCCAAAGACTTGTCTTCGGAGGACGAGCTAGGGTCATTTAAAAACCGTTCTATCCTCTCAGCGACGCTTGGGGTAACCCTCAATATAAATTGCTCCTCCATACCCTCTCTTTTGAACTTTAACCAGTTTCGAGACAAGACGACAGCCAACAATTGCTATTAATTATCAAATAAGATTGATTCAGCAATCAATCGACACCCAAAAATAACTGAGAAATTGCTAAGGCAGGAGTAAACTTGATTACCCTCCCTTCCTTCCGCCATAACCAACCTTTTCTGATTATGTAAATCTCCTGATAGCGGAACAGGCGGATCGACGAATCCCGGCGGGCGGATCAGCTTGATGCAAACAATTGTGGAGGCGGGCATACAACTAACGTATGTGAGTGGGCTTCTTACAATGGGCCTAATAAATAAAATCAAATCAAATCAAAAATTCTCAACAAGAAAAAGAAAAAACCCTAACCAAAACAATGCGTATCTTCAACTGATTTAATTGCTAAAGAAAAGCCATTCCTCTGCTTGCATATCAAGAACGTAAAGAGTATAGATAATCTCACCTCAAAAGAACTCCAATTTAGGATTATCCACGACGAGCGAGAGAGTGTGTGCAGAAGCCGACTGATTGAGAAACTGCAAAAATAAATGACAAAATTAGACCTTCAATCGCCTCGCGGGGAGTTTTGAACCCTAATCCGATGCTCTTCCAATAACGGTTGAACTCCAATATAGGATTATCCACGAAGAGCGAGTGCGTGCAGAAGCCGACGGCCGCGTGAGAAAGCTAGGGACAGAGAGTTGCCCACTCGGTTTGGCGGTTTTGTTGGTGAAGTGAAGGAGGAGTATGAAGAATGAAGGGAAGAATTGGCTGCGGCGGCTGTGGAATCTATCCGTAAATTATTGATTAGGACAAAATATATTTTATAATAATAATATAATTATTTTTGGAAAAGTGTTATAGTATTATTTTTTTTCACTTTAAAATCTAATACTAGTTTTTTTTTTTTTTTTTTAGATTTTTGGAGATTTTAAAGTTTGAAAAAAATTGCTTTATTTTTTTTCATTTAATCGGTCTATTCGTTCATCACACATAATTTATTTTTTTTAAAAAAGTAAAATACAATTATACCCTTTAATTATATTTTAAAATTTATAATTTATAATTTTTTATTTTAATTAGATTATTTAATAATTTTAATTTTTGGCAAATAGTTTTTTTGAAAAGCTTTTAGTTTATTGAACAGTTTTAGTTGTTTGACTAATTTAGGTGTTTAGTAAATTAGCTTTTTGGAATAGCTTTTTGAACCAAAAAAGCTAACTTACTCAGCTTTTTTAAATAGCTTTTTCTGTTAAAAAAATAATAATAAAAATAAAATTATTCCTTATATGTCCTTAAAAATTTATTATACATTTTACACAAATAAATACATTTTGATTATTTATTAATTATATTAGAATATTTTATTATATTATAGTTTTATTTTTATAAATTTAAAATAATTAATTTTTATATAAAAATTATTTTAATTGTAAAATATATAAATTTATTAAAATTAGAAAATAGAAAATAAAAATATTAATAATTTATTTTTATATTAAAATTACATTATATAAATTTTATACTAAAAATAAATTAAATTTATTATAAATTATAAATATAATGAACTAATCGATAACTAACATAATAAATATATACACGAAAATTTTATAATTTTATATTTTACATCATTTTCAATAAAAAAAAAACTATTTATATATTTTAATAAAAATATATTAAATTTTTCTAAGTCTAACTGTAATAAAAATAAATATTTTTATAACACTTTTACAATTTTCAATAATTAATAATAAAAAATTTTAAACATTCTAAACTCAAAAGAAACATAATTTAATATATTAGAAACAAAAATAAAATAGAAATGTCATCAATTGTCATTTTATGTATAAATAGCTAATATCAAACAGTTGTTTTACCAAACATTTTAATACAAACAGCTAATCGAATCAGCTAGTCAAACCAGTTAATTGAATCAGCTAACAGCTATCAGCTAATTGAATGAGCTAACAGCTAACAATTATCTATAATTATTTTTATTAAATTATAATTATTTATGCTAATACATATTTTAATTATTTACTAATTACACAGTACCTAAAATTACACGCATAAGCTAAATGAGACAAAATAGTTGAAATACAAGAAATAAAAGTTAATCTTTTAATTGATATTTTGTAAGAAAAAATATATTTGAGTATCATAGTATTAAATTAGAAAAAATTGTATAGTAAATCAAGCTTGAATTTTGAATGGACAATTCGTCTGTTCACTCGGCGTTTTTAGATTAATTCATTTTTTTTGTACGGAGAACTGTAATGATAATATAAAAAAATAATATTTTGTTTTTGAATAATTGATTTTTTTATGTATAGATAATATATACTCTGTCTGTCCCACTTAATTTGTCCACTACCGTTTGTCCAACATTATTTTTTTTTTTTTGGAAATACAGCTATATATTTTAATCGTATTTTAAAATAATAATTTATATTTTTTGTTTTAATTAAACTATTTAATCATTTTAATCTTAATATATAATTATTTTTATTAAATCGTAATTATTCCTATTAATATATTTTTTTTATTACTCACTAATTATATAATACGTAAAACTTCGTGTTTAAGCTAAATGGGAAAAATTAGTTGAGACGGATAGAGTATTATATTAATGTGTGTATATATTTGTATTTTTTTCAATAATATTTATGAGAAATTGTTACATTAAGAAATATTGAATGAACAGGCCGAATGATTCTACTTCATCACACATTTTGTCAAAATAAGTATTCTTTTCATCCCATTTAATTTGTTTATTATTTATATTTATATCTGTCCGCATAATTTTTATTTTTTTAAATATAATTATAAACTTTAATCATATTTTAAAATCATAATTTATAATTTTTTTATTTAAACAAACTATTTAATCATTTTAATTTATAATTATTTTTATTAAATTATAATTATTTTCACAAATATATTTCTTAGTTACTTATTAAAATTGCAATACATAAAACTCTGTATCTAATCTAAATAGTACAAGTTAGGTGAGACGAAAAGAGTATTGCTTTTTAGACGCGATATAGCGACGGCTACAATATTAAATTTAAAATTCAGCATTGTGCTGAACAACACATCGTGTGCTATTAGACATTATATAATATTACTACAAACAACACAGTATGTTAATATAATACAAATACAACACACAGACAAAAAACACATGGTATAGTCTATCCAACACAAAATATTACTACATATAATACATTGTATATGTTAATATAATACAAATACAATACATGAACTAACAGTACATATTATAGTCTCATTCAGCACACACAATAGTTGATTTTAGCACATTACATATTTGTATACAACACACTTATTATTACTAAAAAGCGGTACATACATTTATTGTATACATCATGTGTTGTGTTTAATGCTAATGTGCGCTATTTGTACATATAAGGCCCGCTGAAGTTAAACTAGAATGATATTAGAATTTTAACGGAATAAGTATTCTTACTTTTACATACTTAATATCGTCTTTCAATATATATTTTTGCAAACTACAATGATACCAGAGTTTGCTTAGGGTGTGTTTGTTTGGGGTTACGGATTTTGGATTGATATTTGCATAATAAAAAGTTTAGATTAAAATAATTTTATGATATGATATAAATAAATATTGTTATGATATTTATAATTTATAGTGCAAGTATAATTTATATGCTAAAAGGTGATATGTAATTTAATTTTTTTTTTTAAAATAAGCAATAAATTTGTTTAAAAATGGTATATAAATTTATTTTTTGAAAAATTATATGTTGTTTTATTTTTTCTTAAGTAATACTGTAGTATATAAATTAAAGGTGATATGTTATTTATTTTTTTAAAATAATGCTACCATGTAATTTGTTTTAAGTGATATATTGTATAATTTTAGTTTTTAAAAAGTGATATATAATTTTTTTTTTTTAAAAAAAAAGAGAGAAGTAATGTGTAATTTTACTTTGTTAAAAGTGATGTGTAATTTTTTATTTTAAAAATAATTATTTTATAAATTATAAATTAGAAGTAGTGTATTTTTGGATGTAATGTAAAAATAAATTATATTTTAAAAATAATTATTTTATAAATTATAAATTAGAAGTAGTGTATTTTTTGATGTAATGTAAAAATAAATTAAATTTGAAATGTAATTTATAAATATAAAAAATTATACTTCCACAACTTTGACGTATATATTATTTTATTTTCGTTCATTTTTTTTCAAAGTATTCATTTATTATTAAAGTAATCATTCACTAATATTACAATACTTTAATTTTTTACTTAAATTATAAACATAAAGTTAAAGGTAAAAATATCAACACTTTTTACACACTTTTATTAATTAATAAGATACTATTATTTTTTAATTTATTATAAAACTTTATAATACCACTTTCATTGCTCATTTAATTTGAGACGGAGAGTACTATTTTAATATTTATTATAATTAAAAATTTATTATTTATTAAATTTAAAATAAATATATGCCTATATCATACGAAAAAAAAGTATAAAATAATGTAAACAATAAAATATAAGCTTCTCACTTCGTCACATCACCTAATTAAATATAGCACATTGTTTGGAACAGAGGGAGTATCATTTTCAATATCGTTACATTTCTATTTTTTTTACAAAATTATCATTATTTTTTCATAATAATTACATAAATTAAGAATATTTAAGTTTTTTCAAACTTTTTTACCTTCAATGTCAATATAATAATATTATTATTTAATTGTCGGGTCCACTCCAAATATCTTTGTTGATTTGAGAAGAAGTATTTTTTAAGAATAAAAAAGTAAAATTTATGATTAAATGCCTCAATAACCCTAACGGAGAACGGGCTCGAACTAGGGATAGCGAGTAGAATTCACGCGCCCCGTCCCCCGTTTAAACTCGACTATAAATACCCATTAACCCTAGCTTCATATCGCCCCAATTCACTCTCAACTTCCTGCGCCGTCGGCTTCTGCACACTCTCTCTCGCTCTTCGTGGATAATCCTAAATTGGAGTTCTTTTGAGGTGAGATTATTTATACTCTTCACGTTATTGATATGCAAGCAGAGGAATGCTTATTCTTTAGCAATTAAATCAGTTGAAGATACGCATTGTTTTGGTTAGGGTTTTTTCTTTTTCCGTTTTCGGATCTGCGGACGTATACTGCCAGTCAAGCCGATTGATTGGGCGTGATTGCTTAAAAACGTACAAATGATTTTGTTTTATTTTCTGTTATTTGAAAACCCGTATTGTCGTGTTAATTGGTTTCTGATTCGTGAGTCTGGTGAGATGTAGAATGAAGTGATGACTAACAAAGATGAATTGATAGCCAGTATGATGGCTGTTTATCATGTATTAGCTCTACCTGATCATTCTATAGCTTCTCTGTTAGATTTGGATTATTTCCTTTAAGTCTTTCTTAAGCCTGTTGAATCTTGTTAAGGACAGCCAGGTTCTATGTTTTTGTTTTTAAAATTGTATGATTTAACAAAAAAACAATAAACTGTTTAAGTTTCGTTGCAATCTCTGTAATTGATTTTTTTTTTTGGATTCTTCATAGGATAAGTTGGTCTAAAATGAGAGGGCGGAGTTACACCCCATCACCCCCAAGAGGCTACGGTAGAAGAGGGAGGAGCCCCCCAAGAGGAGGAGGTCGTTATGCCAGTCGAGGTGATGCTCCAACCAGCTTGCTAGTTCGTAACCTCCGGCATGATTGCAGGTGAGCTTTTAAAAAACTCAATCAACTCTATTCGATAAGAGAATCACACAACATGAAATGAATGATTTATTGTGATCTCATATGTTAATTTTATTTTTACAGGCCAGAAGACTTGAGAAGGCCATTTGGACAGTTTGGCCCTATCAAAGACATTTACTTGCCGAGGGATTATTATACTGGGTGAGCTTGTGTTGTATATACGAATGTCATATGATGTGAAAAGTTGCTAAGATAGTGTGATGATGACCTGCTTGAATGTGAATCGTTGTTGCTTCTGCACTTCTGTTGCCTTATTTGTCTCTATTTCGACAATTTTCTTGTGTTGAATATTTTTATTAAGATTTTTGAGATTTAACAGTGAAATAAGAGTCATGAAGGCTGAATCAAGTAGTAAGAGTTCTGACAAATTCTAATAGTAAGAGATCTCTTCAGTCATTCAAGTAGTAAGGAGTTGAAGGTGATGTAAATGGTAATGAAGATTGGAAGGGTTCTTGTTTGAATACAATGTGAAGATATCAAGATGTCCCAAGTCTTGAAGAATTTCAAGTCTCATCTTAAATTGTCACTCACAAGGTCAGCTGCCGAGTGCTTGTTTATGAGCTTATCATGGCCTTCCATATTCTTGGAAATTATTTTGAGCACTTGAGTGGCTTTCGGAAAATGTAGAGGCTTCTAGAGCACACTGACTCATTAATTGTCTCACATATTGCAGGATTATCCTAATTTGATCACACTACTAAATGGTTTGTAATACCTTTTTTATGTGAGCTGATTTTCAGCATATATAGTCTACGATTTGAATCATGTTTTTTTTTACCGGAAATTATCAGATAAAATGCTTCACGTCTTGAATTTTCCCCTTGTTGAGGTTTTTCAAACTGACCCTAACAATCTACTTTCTGTGTTAACTCTGCATTAGCTGGAGTGATATGGCAAGCCACGTTTTACTTGCTTTCTTTATTCTTTACTCAATAAAGCTTGTTTTCTGTGCAGTGATCCACGGGGTTTTGGATTTGTCCAATATGTTGATCCAGCTGATGCTGCAGAGGCTAAATATCAGATGGATGGACAGATTCTGCAAGGGAGGGAGCTCACGGTTGTTTTTGCTGAGGAGAACAGGAAGAAGCCAAGTGAAATGAGAGCCAGAGAACGAGGAGGAAGGTATCTTCTAAATTTAAGATATAATTTATTAAATGGTTTCAAATTTCACTCGGTAGATTTTATACCCCTTTCTGAGTTGGTTGATTGTTAATACCAAATGTGAATGATTGATGCTATAATTGTTGGGAAAAAACATTTGATTTCTAACCGAAGTGGATATTTTGACCAATCCCATTAATAACATAAATACTAGATTTTTTTTTTTCCTTTCAATTTATAGATATTAGTAATAAAACATGATTTGTTTATTATCTAGTGGTCTAATACTGAGTTTTCCCGACACGGTTCTAAACATTTACTCTTATCCATTGCAGCCGAGGTCGTGTATACGATCGAAGGCGATCTCCTCCACGCTATTCTCGCTCTCCCAGGTATTCCCGATCACCACCTCCTCGGTACGTGAGGTCTCGCAGCCGTGAGTACTACTCTCCTTCGAGAAGAAGGTATTCAAGGTACGGCTATATTTGTGTATTTAGTGACCATAGGGGTGTTACATCAACATGCTAGGTAGCTCTACGCTGTTGTCCTCGTAGACATTGTATTTAGGGTGTGTTTGTTTGAAGGATTTTGCAAAAACTACACTATTAATCCAAAAATTTTTCCCTCGAAAACATAAAATCAAATACATAATTTTCATTTTCTATATTACTCAAAAAATCAATTTTACATTCAAAATATCACATCAACACCTATCATATAACTATTCCAATTCAAAATTTTTACTATTCAAATCCCAATTTAAAATCCAAACCTTCAAACAAACGCACCCTTAAGAGGAACCATAGGTATTAACTAGTTCAACATGCTATGTAGCTAGAGTTGGCAATGAGTCGATTTGTGTCAGGTTGTATACATTAAACGAATTAAATCACTCAACCCTAACTTGGCTCATTTGTGTTGTTGACCTGTTTATATAATTGAGTCAAATTATTTTTTCTAAACCCAATTATTTTTTGTCAGGTTGTTGTGTTATGTTAGTTTTCTTTTTTCTTCTTTTTGTTCTAGTGTCGAGTTTGTGTCAATCGGTATACATGATTGAGTCAAAATTTTTGATCCAAATTTGATTATTTTGTGTCGGGTTATCTTGTCGTTTCAGCTTTTGCCAGTTTTATATGTAGCCCAGCCTATTTCTGCAAAACTGATCTCTATTTGAATGATAATTTCAGGTCAGTTTCACCTCAAGAAAAAAGGTACAGTAGAGAGAGGTCATACACTCGGTCTCCTGCACGGGAGCCCTCCCCTCCACCATACGATGGTCCAAGAAACCGCAGTGTAAGTCCTCCTGCAAGGGAACGGTCTCCATATGGGTCGAGGAGCAGGTCCCAAAGCCCAGAGAGGGCAAGAAACCCGAGCCGCAGCAGAAGCAGGAGCCCTTACCCCCCAGAATACGCGAGAGGGGATCATCCTGAGAGGGGAAGGTCTCGCAGCCACTGAGAATCTTCCTCTACAAAAAAAAACACATGTGCGCACGATTCTTCTTTCTCTTACTCTTTATTCGATCGTGTCGTGTTTGTGTTCTTTTACCATTTGACGACGGGATTTGGCTATTTGCTTCGTTTATTTTTACTCGTACTCCCGGATCTTGAATCAGTTTAGGTCTCTGGATCGGTGTTTACATGTTGGTTTTCGAACGATGAATTCATCCTGTGCTGTTTATGGTTGTTTACCGTTGGAACGGATCGTCGCGTGTTTTTATTGCTTGGTATTTTTAGTTTTTGCCTAAATTTTTTACACTTGCTACAAGTGAAATTAGTAAGCGTTGTTTGAGGGAAGTAAATATAGGATGTAACAAATAATTACCTAAATATATAGCTGCATGAAACAATTAGCAGTTAATCACGAAGCAGAAGCAGAAGCAGATAGGATAGCATATTTATCTTTTTAAGTAATTAACATTTTATCACAAAGTAGATAGTATAGGTATATGTTGTGTTGTTCAATATTATATACAAATTTTGTAAGGTTTTAGACAGTTTTAAATTAATGAGCAAATTTAAATTGTAAATATTTAAATATATAAGTACTATATATATATATATGTATACATCTAGTAATTATTCTATTGGTTATTCTTAACTCATAAACCCAAATAAAAAATTATCGCATTGTTTACACAATTAATTTTATTTTTTTTGGTACTATTTATTTTTTAAAAAATATCATATTAGATATACTTATTTTTAAAAAAATATTAAATTAAATACTAATTTATTTAACATTTTCAAGACTATATGATCATCAATTTAACCCAATTGATGCCCATAATTAAGGTGAACATAAATGGACATTTATGTAAACTTGCAATAAGGAGAAGGAATGACAAAATGTAAATGATAAAAACTTGAATGGAAATATTTAATCTAATATAAATAAATATTAGATGTAATTATATATATATATATATATAGTCTTTAATAAATAAATAGCACCCAAAAATCTAAAATGATGCATGTAAGGTGGATTTGTTACTGTGATAAAAGCATATGATCATAAACTTTATAAATAAATTAAAATAACATAAAATGGAAGATGGAAGAAAATTGCCATAAAACTCAACAATTGAATGAACAATTCACTTCAATATATATATATATATATATATATTCAATTTCAATTTTTTTTTTTTTTTAAAAAAAAATCAAATTATCTCATACTCAAGCATGATTTTTCAATAATCAATCGACCCTCCCTTTAAAGTTTTAAATATTCAATTTAACCATCAAATATCCAACTTTCGATCTCATCTTCTTTTCATTTGACTTTATTTTTGTGAAAAGTTATTTTCAATGTATAAAAATACATACAAGAAAATTAGTTATAATTTTAATTTTAGATGACACTTAAAATATTTTTTAGCAACTTATCCGAGCAATACAGTTAGAAATAGGGTGAATTTTTCGATTTCTTTAAAAAAGGATCCGAAATCATATTTAGAAGAATATGATGAAAGAAATAAAAGAGATAAATAATATAAAAATATATTTTTTTTTTGGTGTCTTATCAGAGCGAACCAACTAAAAATAATATGCGTTCTCCGACTTCCTTAAAAGAAAATCTGAAACCGTAAAATTTGATAAAATTAATTAAAATGATAGAAAAATAAGAAAACGGGAAAAGATACGCCCTCATCCAAAAATTAGTTATGATTTTATAGATGTTATTTTATACAAATCCGGTGTTATTTTCATAATTTCTTGAAAAAATAAATAATATTTTGAGATAAAAAATTTATAAACTTATGATGTTTGTCAACACATAGCTTGGCAAATGTCATTTTCGTTTCACATAAATAACAATTCATTAATTAATTAATCTATTTTATTTTATTTTTTGCATTTGTATTTTTATTTTATTTATTTATTTTATTTATTATTTTTTTTTTTTAAAAAAAAGAAAAGTGGCGGTGGATTAGTTATGTAATTAGTCAATGGCTGATTCATCATGTTCTAGATCGAAATCAAAATGCCTTCGTCATTGTTCTATTATCAAAATACGCTTTATAATAATTTCGTCAGTTTTCAATAAAAATATACATATTTTTTCGGTATGAGTATTATTTTGTTTAAAAACTTAAAAAGAACATGCTCAATCTCTTTGGAGAAGAAGATGACGACGAGGAGAATGATTTTATTATCTTTCGTAGTTTAGATACAAAATTTTTCATTTTTTAAATAAATTAACACATTATAAATACCTTTAAGACTTATAAATATTTTCAATCAATTAAAACACACTTGTAGAATAATCTTTATATATACAATATAGCATTAACTATTATTTTAAAATATAATATTTATTGAACTCTGTATAAAAACAAACGAATAAAGTAATAGTAGTCGCAAAAAGTATTTATTTGCTTTATCAATAGTAATATTATTTTTTCCTTAAATAAATTTGTTTATTTATATTTTCAAATTACATATATCTTATTAAAGAGTGTATTACATTCATAATCTATATATATATATATATATTTTTATTTTAAATATTATATCTAAAATGTATTCTCTATTTAAAAGATCAACACTATTACATAAAAAAAATATATATATTTATTACTTAATTTATTTCTATTTCTATACAACTCATTTTAATTATTTACATTTTTATTAGTGCAATGATAACTAATTTAATAAAAAATGTTTCTCAAAATATTACTTGTTTTTTCAAATCATGTATAATAGTACAATTTTGTTCATTTTTTTTTCGTCCATATGTGTCACAATATATTTTTTTTATAAAAAAAAATATTATACTTAAAAATTTCTTATTTTTATTTAAAATAAATATTCAATAATTAATAATTATCTTTTCACTGAAACACTTAAATCCAAACAATATAGAACATCCCAAATAATCCAAAATACAATTAAACTCAATATAAATAAAATAAATAAATTGTCAAAGTATGACAATACTTTAAAATACCCAATAAATGGAGTGGTTTAAGTGAGATCACCATTGACTGACGTCGTGTTAATTATATATATATATATATATATTTATATTTATTTATTTATTTTTAATTAATTCAATTTCTGATTTTTAAATAATAATAATAATAATAATATATTATGTTAACTCACATAATATAACATTTATATAAAGAAAAAATATTAGCAAAAAAATATATACACATTAATATTTTTTTGATATAAATTTATAGAAGATATTTATACATAATATATTTATTAATATAAATTAATTATAATTAATATATATTATATTTGCCGGCCGGCAGAAGCAAAATATATAGAATCGGTCCAGTCAACAGTATAGAATTTATTTATTTATTTATTTATTTTGATTTAAAATATTATATAAGAAAAACGTAAATTTTTCATTTAAAATATTATAATATCTATCACTATTTTAGTTTAAATTTGTATTATTTTGAAGTTCAAACTCAAATTTAAAACTTAAATAATTACATAAAAATAATTTCCAAATAGAGTTTGACTAATCCAAAATAAGCATCTTTGAACAATATAAAATCAATCTCTTGTGGTGTGCCCATTCATTGAAGGCAGTAATTAAAATTTATTTATTTATTTATTTATATTTTAAAAAGGGGCTAAACTTTCAAAATATGTTATTCGTATATATATTTTTATTTTAAAACGTCCTAATTATAAAATAAATATTTTATTAAATATTTTATTCTTTTATAAATATTCTTATTTTATATTACATCATTACTAATACATCAAAAAATAAAGATAAAAATATTATTACACTACTCTTAACTACCTATTATAATTAAAATATTATTATTTTTTAAAATACCATGCCGAAAATAATTGTATATTTTATGTGCGGAAAGTTGAATTAGTATTTATTAAATAAGCAATATTGGTGGTGGGAATTTAATATAAATGCAAATATATATATATATATATTTGATTTAATTAGGTAGTTGATATTAGTTTGGTGGAGTCATTGATGAGGGGAGAGGGAGGGAGGCAGTCACTTTCCAATTAATTATGTTGCCTCTCTCTCTCTCTCTCTCTTCTCTTTTTTTTTTTTTTTTTTTTTTTTTTTGTTTTTTTTTTTTTTCTATATATATATTCATATTTCATAATGAGATATTTTTTTATAATGTGTTGTTATATTTATATCTATTTACTCCGGTGAATTTAACGTATATTATTACTGTATTGATATATAATAAAAATAAAAATAAAAATAAATTTTATTAGTATTGAATAATATAAATGTAACGATATTTATATAATATATTATAATCGTAAAAATTTTTATAATGTTAGATAAATAGTACAATTTGATAAAAAAAATAAAATTGATAATTTGTTTTGTAATTTACCAAAATAAAAAAATAAATAATTTGTCAAAGAAGAAAAATAATATATTTTTTTATATAACTATATTTATTTATTTTTATAACGTAAAAATTTGTAACTTTTGAACTCTAAAAATATGTTTGTAATTGAATTTATAGAGGGTGTGTGTTTATGTTTTTGTATTTGAGTTTTGTATTAGAAAATAATAAAAAAATTTAATTAAAATAATTTTTAATGTGATATTTAAAATAGAATGTTTATTTTTTTAAAAATATTTTAAGTACAAATAAATATTTGACTTAATAATTATTTATGTTGATTTTGGTGTTTCCTTCCAACTAAAGAATGATTTCTTACTAATTATGAATCTTATTGTGAATAATGTGTTGCAACAAACTGTACTGATTCAGAGAACATTGTTTTTAGTTTTTTTTTTTTTTTTTTTCTTACAAAAAAAATTATTATTTATTATATATTAAAATATTATATTCGATAATCATTTTAATTAAAAATTCTACTTCCTCCGTCCTAGATAAAATGAACGTGTTACTGTAGATAGAAGAATTTAGATAAAATAGAATTGTTAAGAAATGTATTAGTAAAAATAATTATTATTTAATAAAAATAATTATAAATTAAAATTAAAATAACTAAATAATTTAATTAAGATTAAAAAAATTTTAACTTTTAAAATTTAAAATATAATTAAAATATATAATATTTTTTTAAAAAAATAAAAAAAAATTATGTAAAAAAAAAAATTAAAAATGGGCGAGTATTCCCACCTCCCTTTCTGTGCCAAACACACATTATCATACACATACGTATACAACATATAAACATATACATACATATTATATATATATATATTTATACATAGCCATGAGTCATGAGTCATGACCCTTCTTAATTTAATGCATACATAGAAAATTCTGAACAGCTTTTTTGTCTGCAGCAAGCTACACTTTGACATTTATATATTTATTAATTATTATTATTATTATTATAATTAGTAGTATTACAATTTATTTATTTTTTCTCGAGAATATTACATTTACATTTTTTATGAGTGTGGTATATTTTCAGAGTAAATCCAATCCAAGTTTGTTGCCACTTAAAGACAATCCCTCCAGCTGTAATCTTCATCAGTTTTTTTACCTTTCTTTTTAACCCTCACAAACTGTTTTCTCTCTCCTCTCTCTCTCTCTCTCTCTGTATCTACATCTGTGTGCTTACTCAGTCAATTTATATGCTTATTACCTGTATATGTAGAGTGAGAAAGAAAAACCAGAACTCTAATAAGCCATCAATTTTGCAGAGAGAGAGAGAGAGAGAGAGAGAGATGAAAAAGGGGCACTAAAAAAAGGGTCTTTCATGGGGCTTCAAGGGATTATCCTTTTTTTTTGTTTGGTTAAAGATTGAAGCTTTCTTTTAATCAATTCAGATTCGAGATTTTGGGTTTCTTGATTTCTTGATCCCAATCAAACAATGGAGAGGTCTCCAAATGGTGAAAGGGGTTTCAGAGTACAACCCCCGCTGGTTAGTCCAACATTGTTTATCTTTTTTGTGTTTCTGTTCAATGGGTTTTCAATTTTTTATTTTATCATGATTTCTTCTTCAAGAACCAAAAAAAAGTTAGTATTTTGATTTGGGCATTGTGGAAGCATTCTTATGTAAGAATTTTGTCAATTTTACATTTTAGATTGTGTTCAAATTCAATAAATAAAAAAGTATTTGATGTTTTTCTTTTATGTAATATTTAAATCGAAAAATAGATATTTGTCGAATAGTATCTAAGTTTATTTGAAACCATATGTAACAAAGCCTTAATCTTTTTACGTTATATAACACCTATAATTCTTGTTTTCATTTTTTTTTTTTAATCTTAATAATGTTTGAAAATTTAAACTTTTTTTTATTAAAACAATATTTGATTTGATATTATGCGAGAGCGTTGTATTTGTTCTACAGATCGGAGATCTTTGTAATGAAATCAGATGCACTTGTTTACATTTTCAGACAAGTCGCAAAGTCTATATTTTGAATGTATGTGCTGACAATTATACTTTATAAATATGTTAGTATTAATATATTTTATTTATTGCATATGTATTATATAATTATAAATTATCTAAAGCTACCTTAGATAGACAGTACAGTGCTACCTTAGATCCTGTGCTTTTCAGTGTATATCATATGAGTAACCAACATATTTAAACATATAGTATATTATAAGATAACATATATTTAATTATAATATAATATATATAAATATATGTTAGTACGTGCTAAATATTTGTATTCCGCGAATTTCGCTCGTTTCTCTGCTTATGCATACATGCATTTTTTCAAACTACAGATCCCTGTGCTGATCAGCTTATATCATATGAGCGATCAACATATATTTATACATATTTTACCATATGATGTATTATAAAATAGCATATATTGAATTATAATATAATATATGCTGAAATATATATAAATAAATATACGTGGTCACTGTATAGCATATGTTGATCGATGCCTTCTTCTTTTGCCTTACTTGCCATGTTCATTTATATCGTTGTATTTCTCGTTGCGCCAACGTTTGAATATTCCGTAATTTCCTATCCGCGTCGCGCTCGTAACGTATCTTTCATGGCAATGGTCGCAGGTCGATTCCGTGTCGTGTTACTGCAAGGTCGATTCGGGGCTAAAAACGGTAGCCGGCGCAAGAAAATTCGTCCCGGGATCCAAAATCTGCATTCAGCCGGACACGAATCCGCGCGCGCACAAGTCAAAAACGTCTCGCCGGGAAAGGACCCGAGTGCAGCCGCCGCTCTTACCGGGACTTCCCGACGACCTCGCCATCGCTTGCCTAATCCGAGTCCCGCGCGTCGACCACAACAAACTCCGGCTCGTCTGCAAGCGATGGCTCAAGCTCTTGGCCGGAAACTTCTTCTACTCGCTCCGCAAGAGCCTCGGCATGGCGGAGGAATGGGTTTACGTCGTCAAACGAGACCGCGACGGTCGAATCTCGTGGCACGCCTTCGACCCGACCCACCAGCTCTGGCAGCCACTCCCGCCGGTCCCCGTCGAGTACACCGCCGCGCTCGGGTTCGGCTGCGCCGTCCTTAGCGGTTGCCACCTCTACTTATTCGGCGGGAAAGATCCGCTCAAGGGATCGATGCGACGCGTGATTTTTTACAGCGCCCGGACGAATAAATGGCACCGCGCCCCGGACATGCTTCGGAAACGGCATTTCTTTGGATCGTGCGTCATCAACAATTGTCTTTACGTCGCTGGCGGCGAATGCGAAGGGATTCAACGAACGCTGCGATCGGCGGAAGTTTACGATCCCAATCGAAACCGGTGGACTTTCATATCGGATATGAGCACGGCGATGGTGCCGTTTATCGGCGTGGTTTACGATCAGAAGTGGTTTTTGAAGGGCCTCGGCGCGCACCGGGAGGTTTTGAGCGAAGCGTATAGTCCGGAAACGAACACGTGGAATCAAGTTAACGACGGGATGGTTTCCGGTTGGCGCAACCCGAGCGCGTCGATGAACGGGAAGCTTTACGCGTTGGATTGTCGGGACGGGTGTAAGTTACGAGTGTACGACGAGAACACCGATTCGTGGAACAGATTTATCGATAGTAAGGTTCATCTCGGGAATTCCCGCGCGCTCGAAGCCGCGGCTCTCGTACCGATCAACGGGAAGCTTTGTATCGTTCGGAATAATATGAGCATCAGCATGGTCGACGTGTCGAACCCAGATAAACGAGTCGAAAGCAATCCGACGATTTGGGAGAACATAGCGAGCAAAGGTCATTTCCGGAACCTGTTTACGAATTTGTGGTCGAGCATCGCCGGGAGGAGCGGATTGAAGAGCCATATCGTACATTGTCAGGTTCTTCAAGCGTGAAACGGAGACTCGAGGATGTCGTACAATTTCATTGAGAAATTAATTGCAGCGATCGATTGGAATTCTCGTCATCGCGGCGTCGAAATTTGAGGTAAGAATTGTACATTTCCGTAGCTCGCTCGCTCGTAGAAGTTTGTTTTTGTGCGAATTCGTTAGCGTTTGTTGCAACCTTAAATTTTTGTGAATACAACTACGATACACATTATTCGCGTCGATGAAAGCTCGTTGATTCGTTATTTTTGGTCGCGCGATAAATACATAGAAGAAAATGGTTTCGAAGACAACAAGCAGACTAAATTGCACAAAATCTCTTAATACTTTTAAAATTGTGTCAAATTCTCTCGTGGTTTCATAAATTCTGCATCTAACCCCATCGGTCCTCTTTATTTAAAGTTGTTTAATCTGCACGCGCCCAAAATGTGAATAGCTGAGGGAATTAGACGGAGTTTATGAAACCACGAGGGAGTTTGACGCAACTTTAAAAGTATAAGGATTATGCAAAATTTTGTGAAACCAAGTGTGAATTTTATGCAATTTAGCCAAACAAACAAGCATTGATCATATGTCGATACCGTTTTAAATTCTCCGCGCGGACTGGCTAGTGGTTCGAATTCGAATCCTCACGGAGGCGACGTTTGAGCGATTCCTCGCGCTCGATCTTGAGCTGTTTCCGGAAATTTTTGATGAAATCGTCGGCCTGTCTGTTGACATCATCTGTGACAGGCTTTGAAGTTGCAGTCACCGTTGTTGGTTTCGATTTTGCGGCCTCGTCGGAGATGTCACCGCCGTTGCCGTCGCCGGAGTTTCGGAAGCGGGTGGCGGCGGGATAGGAATGGGGCTTTCGGGGAAGACTAGGATCCATGTACATACGTAGGAGGTTTCGAAGAGTTTGGAGAGATTTGATGATATGTAGGAAGAGTTGTGTGGTATGTGTTTATTTATTGGTGGTTTTGAGAGTTTAATTTGGACACGTTTTTGATGAAAAAGCAGTGAGAGAAAGAAAGAAGAAATAGCAGAGAAGGTGGAAGGAAGTAGTAAGACATTCACTTAAGGCTGTGTTTTTTTTGGCGTTTTAGATTTTAAATTCAGATTTAAGTAGTAAAAATTTTGAATTAAAATAGTAGTATGTAAAATTGATCTTTAGTAATATAATATAAAATAAATATATACATATTTGATTTGATATTTTTTTCAATTTTTTTTTTTTTTTTTTTTATGGATAATAAATTTTGGAAGAATCCCCGAATAAACACACTTACTGTGTTGACAGCCACAAAATATAAATCGATAGTATGTAGAGTATAAATTGATAATATAAAATATATATTAGCATAATAGAAATAGTCTATACATAAATTGTGAGTGTTTTACATTATGTTCATGCAACATATACTACAGATTATCAGTGTACAAAATATTCTAACACAATATATATATATATTATATAGTATTTCCTCCGTCTCAAATACTGTGCAACATATGTGTTTAGCACGAAAATTTATGTGAGGAATATTAAGTATGATAATTTGAGATAATTTGGATATTAAGTGATGTGATTGAAGAAAAAAATTATTATTTGTTTTTTCTTTATTTAAATGATATGATGAGATAAAGTGAAGTGTATATTAATATATATATATAAATATTATTAATTATTTTTATATTTAAAAATATCACAGTAAATTTGAGATAAAAAAAAAATATATTACAGAATATTTGAAACAAACAATTATATAATAAAATAGACAAGATATGGTGATAATTTGTACAATACATGTCTTCTTGTAAAAAAATTGGTGATGAGTCAAGAAAGCACTTATTACATCTCTATGTTCACATTATTGATCATTGCTAATCGATAAGATAAGTATGATGGGAGTGAGTGTATTTTTTTATTTTTTAATTTTTAATTTATTATTTGAATACAATGAGTAAATTTGGAATGAACTTAATAACCTAAGAAATGAGTCTTATTTCACGTTCATATAAATTAATTTGTCGGTAATATTATATTGAGATAATGATGTAAAATTTTATTTCAATACACTCAAATTTATTTTTATTTTTGGATTGTATATGTTTAATTTTGGGTTTTGAGGTTGGATGAGGAGTTTTAAATTACTACAATTCATACCCCTTCTGTCCCACATACCATGTCCACGTTATCGTTTTTGTTCGTTTCACATACCATGTCACTTTTCTTTTTTGGAAAATGATTACACTTTAATGTCATTTTAAATTTTTAAATTTTATTTTTTTTAATTTTAATTAAACTAATTAGTTATTTAATCTTAATTTATAATTATTTATATTATCAGATAATTATTTTCACAAATACATTCTTAGTTACCTCCTAAGTCTATAGACAGTGTACATGGGACTGAGAAAGTATTATTTTAACAGCAACATTTACTTTTTATTTGTATTAATTATTATATCAAAATATTTACAAAGCAAATGACAAAAATACTCTTATCGGTGTTTTATAATACTAATAAAAAGATATTTATAAAAAATATTATACAAATATAAAAATATTTTTAATATTATACACAATTGCGTACTATAACCCTTAGGGACGTAGGAGAATGAATAATATTTTAATTATAGTATCTTTACGTTATATAAATAAATATTTATGTGATATTTTTACTATATAGTTAATTTTTCCTATGATATAAAAGAAAAAATAGAATTATGAATAAAATCTAATAAAAAAATCAAACACTTTGACAGCTACTTCTTGACCGTAAGTTGATAGTTATTATTATTATTATTAAGAGATAATATTACAAATAATTTTAGTGATATCTTATCATTTATATTTTTTTATTTAAATTGTCATGAAAATTAGTTATGCTGATATCTTCTAATGCGGAGGGCGGCCCTATGACAAATTGACAATGAAGTACATTTGATATAAATATCATTTTATTAAAAATAAAATAAAGCTGTTTTCTTTTGTGAATTTTAACACATAATTTTATTTGATATTTATAGGCATTTTTAAGTAATTAAAATTTTTGTTATAAAATAACAAATTTATCTTTAATCTTGTTTATAAAAAATTAAAAAAGTAAATAAAATAAAAGACAAGTGTTTGTTTGAGGGTTTGGATTTTGAATTGAAATTTGAATAGTAAAAATTTTGAATTTGAATAGTTGTATAATATGATATAAATAAATATTGATGTGATGTTTTGAATGTAAAATTAATTTTTAATATAATATAAAAAAATAAAAAATAGATGTTTGATTTGATATTTTTAAAAAGAAAAAATTGGATGAATAGTGAAAATCCAAACAAATCTCTCAAACAAACACACCCTTATTATACTGGGACGTGAGGGAGTATATTATAATATAAATTTATATTATATTCAAAATATCAGTCGGTTCAAAGTCAACTTTTACTAATAAAAGATCCAAACCTAAAAACAAAAATACACAAGCAAACACACCCTACCTACTAAAACTTAGCCAAATGCAGCCTCTAATTGTAAACATCCTCACTATTCCCTATCAAACTAAAATATTTCCTCTCACATAATATTTACCATATATAAAGAAAAAACCAAACTCTTCTCATATATAGGAAAGGACCCTTCAATTGTTCTTACAGTACCAATCAGAAAATTTTAAATATATTTTATATAGAGCACAATATATATTTTATAAAATACTTAGTGTAAAGCATCAGACATAACTTTCTAAAACATCAATATAAAAAATAAACAAATTGGAAAACAAATCAAACAAGATTAGATCAAGAAATACTATGTAATGCTTAGATTGGATCATTCACTAATGCCGCCACTTTTTGTAAATTACTAAGGCTTTGTAATAAGAGAGCGAAAAATCCGACATAAATGTTGTTTATCAAGCATATTCTTCATCAGATGAAAATTGCTCAAAAGAGTTCTGCAAGACATGTAATAAATAGGTGCTACTGGTTCGAATTGAAAATTGAAAATTCATCTCCAAAACTTCAAGAATTCAAAACTCACATCCCGGTAAAGGCTTTCTTTCCACGACCAGAAGAACCGGCTGGATTCACCTTTAGAACATTGAATCTCACCGTCTTTGACAGTGGCCTGCAATGCGATTGATTGACACAAGGAACCATAAAAAATAAATCCCAAATCAATCGAATTTAAGAATGTCCTAGAGTCTATATACGTGCCTGCATTGGCCAATGATCACATGATCGCCTTCTTTGACACGGAAACATGGGGAGATGTGGGCTGGAGTGTTTGAATGCCTCTTTTCGTACCTGAATAAAATATACAAAACATTCACGAGGATTTCTAAGATAATATAACTCATCTTTTATTTTCCTATTATATTCATTTTAAGTCTACCTTTGATACTTTTTCACCCAATGCAGGTAGTTCCTTCGAACAATAATTGTTCTAGTCATCTTGGCACTGTGGCACGTCCCAGCAAGGATACGGCCTCTGATGGACACAGTGCCGGTGAATGGACATTTCTTGTCAATATAGGTACCTGAAAATGAGGAATCAGATGACACGTAGAAATTGAAGTAACCTATATCATAAGACAAATTTTACGAACAACATAACAGTTCCGTCGTAGATAAACCTTCCTTCAGACTAGTAAGAATGAAATCTTACAAAATCATCCAGAAACACAGAATAAAATAATAACAATAATAAAAAGCAACATAAACAAATGTTTGTACCAAAGGATATGTGTTACACATTAGCAAAGAAATCTGACCAACTATGATCATTACAACGGGAAATTAATTAATAAATGGAAAAAACGATACTCGAAACTCAATTTAAACTACAAAACACAATTAAGGCACCAAAAAATAGCAGACTGAAAAAAATGCACAAAGCAGTCTACAAAAAGCCGACCAAAAAACGAATTCATAGTTACATCTAAGTAGAAAAACAACCACAGCTGAAATCCACTGATCAAAATGCCAAACAAATAATTGCAGAAAAACCATATATATATATATATATATATATATCTTGCACAATGATATGAACAGAAAATTTATACACCCAAAAGGAACTATACAGAATAACTGTGAAAAACAATAGGTACAACAGATGAATCGAATAATTGAGAAACTGTAAAAATAAATGACAAAATCAGACCTTCAATCGCCTCGCGGGGAGTTTTGAACCCTAATCCGATGCTCTTCCAATAACGGTTGCCTCCTTTCCCTGGTGCCTTACCCTTACCCGACTTCTTCGAGCTGCAAAATCCGCATTCTCCACCTCAAACCAATTACAACATTCAAACAGCCACACATGCGTACAAAGATAAACCAAAAAATTCTCACCTGAGAAACACCTTGGGTTGCTTCAAGAAAGCCTTCTCGGTCTGCGAACAAAAATCGATTATAAACAGAGACAATTGCAATTAGATACGGAGAGCACTGCGATATTCGAGAGGAAAACGAAACCAACCTGTTCTGCCATGGTTGATCGACGGCGCCTTGAGAATGGAACGATGCCCTCAGCCGCAAGACTACCCGAGTACCTTCTTGCCGTATGCTGGTTCTCTAGGGTTTATAGAACGCCAGCTTTAAAATGGGCCCATAAAGAATATAGTGCGGCCCATTCAAGAATGGGCCGTCAGCCTTTTAAAAAATTATATAGGCTTGTCTGTTTGTTTTGTGTTTTTTGTTTGAGTAATTTGCCAAAATTATGTTAATAATATTTAAGCATTTAATAATTTTCTCATAATATATTGTTTTACTTTTAGTCTACATTATTTTAACATTAAAATTTTATTATTTTTTAAAATTTTGTAAGAGCAAACCTACTTAAATTAAATTTATTGGATGAAAATAAGGAATCAAACAAATTTACATAAATTTATTAAATAGAAAGAAACTAGTAATAGTTACAATAATAAAAATATACTTCTTATGTCCCCTTGTAAAATATAAATATTTATATTTAAAGTTATTCAATTAAAAATATAATATTTTTATTTTGAATTATTCCATTAAAAATAATTAATTTTTATATTTTTTTATAAATACCTTAAGCTTACTATTAAATTATTAATTTTATCGAAAGAAAATAATAAAATTATTTTTATACTATTTTCAACTATTTTAAACCCTAAAATATTATTATTTTTTAAATATTATACCAAAAATAAACATATACTTTTTTAAAATAAAAAGAATATATAAAGTATATATTGTGTAAATATATGTATATATTTTTTTAAGCTAATTATATTATAATATCCAAACGCAAATATTAAAAAATAATAATAATATGAAATTATATAGTAAAATATAAATTATTTATTATAAATTAATTGTATATAATAATCCCTAACATAATAAATAAATAATTTTTTTATAATAAAATATCATATCAAATTCTAATTTTTATGACATATCTAACATAATATAACATATTTATCTAAAAATACAAATAAACAAAACCCAAATTAACTACACCACTGTACAAGTTAAAAAAAATATTCTCCACAACTATCAAAGGTTTGTTTAGCTAAAAAATTTTGGAAATTTTTAGAAATTTGAAAATTTATAAAAAAAAAAAAAGTAAAAAATTAATATTTGATTTGATATTTTGTAAATATATATATATTTAATGTAATATTTTTTAAAAAATAAATAGTGCCAAATAAATAAAAATATGCTATATAAACAGAACCTAAATCACCAAACAAACAATCAACTTATCATAAATGAGAAACACAAATAAATTATTACTCAGCCATATGAAAATGCCTGATGAATATTCAAGGCATCATACATTGGCAAAGATCTTCAATGTTACACAACAAAACTTCACACTTGTGCTTCTACAAATTGACGAAAAATAAACCTCACATCAACAGTTTAAAAGTATGCCTGTTAAACCTCAAGCTGGGGGTGGCACAAATGGGAAATTCTCAGGTAGTTTCATCACTGGTTCACTTCCAGATGACCCTTTCAGTGCCGAAGCTAGAGAATAGCCTAATGCTCGAGCAACCGGAACAGCAACAGCATTCCCGACTTGCATGTACCTATCAAAACCGCGACCGGTAAATAAATAAACCTCAAACAACACAAAACTGAATTGGATCAGATCAATCACTACAACTTTTGAGAACATTTTACCATAATATACTACCGGGAAATAAATAAACAAGTTATAATTTAACCTCAGCAAATCACAGGTTATATATATATATACACGCTATATTTCAAAATTATTTACCATAATATATAATTTGCAAATAGATTAACCTCAAGAAACACCAAGCTGAATTGAATCAGATCAATTACCATACATTCCACAACTTTTGTTCTCACCAAATAACAACAAATTTTGTAAATATATATATAGAGCAAATTTTCAGAATCATTTTTATTTTACCATAGATCGCTGATGACAATAAATCAAGAGTGATTTAAAAACAAAAAAAACTAAAGGGGGTGTGTTACCTTTCTTTGACAGGACCAGTAAGTTTGTAGTAGTCAGGAAAACCTTGCAGGCGAGCATTCTCCCGGACTGTAAGAACTCTATCTTGTTCCGGATGCAGTAATGCCTGAAACAAGATTGTCCTGTGAGAACAAGAGAATATCATGGCATGCAAATTAGGCAAATTAAAAGATAACAGAACGAAAATTTTTCCAACATGATTGTGTGGTTCCGGCCGAGTAACAACAGTGGACACGATTTCATCCCACCATAGACGCCCAAATGGCCTGCAAAATGAGTAGTAATGTCACAAAGCTACTGCAAAGTCTAATCCTAGAATTAAAAGTTTGGAAATGAATTTAGAAAGCTCACATACTTTGAAGAAGTGCCACGGACAAAAGTCATAGCATAATCGGGGACCTGCAATTTACAAGCAAGTATTGCTTTTCAGGCTCAAAAAGATTAAGAGGACAAAAAATTACTTGAGCAATTCATACCAGGGGTTTTCCAGACTTCAGATAGACCCTTTCGATATCAGGATCCCATTCGACCTTGTTGTCAGGACGAACTCTTACACCTGGGAAATTCCTGAAGTTTGCACCCTGAGCACACACAAGAGTTAGTTTTGTTTATTTTTGTCTTTTGATGCAAGCTATATGATAAAACAGCCGTAGCATAACATACCTTTTTCTTAGGAACTTGACAAACACGATCATAGTCATCTTGATTTAGCCTATAAGGCACATGGTCATACAAGCTATGTTCTGGTGATATAGAGCCCAAAACCAAGCATCCAGGCATTTCTGCATCAGGCATAAATAATATAAAGCATCGAACTATTGATTAAGCATGTAAAATTAAAATAAATGTTCACCCGATGATTAAACTTATATCAAAAACCACAAGTAAAGAATCAAAATAAAATCTCCATATTATCACTTGAAATGGCAATTGCTAGCTCACCATCCCTTCGGCGTCTAATGAATTTTTGAAATTCAGACTCAGGGTCAAGTGTATAAGGCATTTCGTCACGTTCCTCTTTATTTCCAACCTAATATATATATATATATATATACACACACACACATAAACAGATTAAATGTGAAATCAGATCAAAAGTAACAACATACTGAGTAACTAATTCTATTTACTGCAGGGAGATCAGCTATTGCATCCTTTAGAAAGAGTGCAGGCTTTAAAGTGGGTTCACAGCCTTCATCATAATTAACTGCATTCATCTGCGTTTCAAAAAATTATGAGCATATATACAAATCGCAATAATCTTATCAAACACAAGTCACACCTCAAACTCAGTTGGATTAACGCCTCTATTTGCAACTTCATGGGTTGGTAATGGATACTGAGGCAAGTTCTGCAAGTGTAGAGAAAAGAAAATGTTAATTACAAAAATGCACATGTACAATAAAATAAAACAAGTTCTCAACCGATAGTGTCAATACAAAGGACATGAGCAACAGAAACAGGAAATTAGAATACCTCTGTTGGAAGTGCACCCCACATGAACACACGCATACGAAATTGAGGCAATCCGTATGAACCAGCTGCCATCATTCCCATCCTCACCTGATAACCGATTGAAACAAGCCGCCCTAATGCATATCGACCAAGAAATCCACCAGCAAACTTCACCATATCGACAACATTCTCCATCAAGACAAATCTTGGCTTGAGAAAGTCTACGATGTCCACATAAACCTTCAATTGTTTGTTTTTTGGATCTTCAAGCGGAGCTTCCTTATTTCGAAACCTATTGAAGCCACTAATTCCTTGGCAAGGAGGTCCACCGCATATTACACCAACAGAACCCTGACAAAAATGCATAGACTATTTTTAGGTAACACAATTGAAGAAAGGAATCTATAGCCAATAAACAGATACAATGCTCACCGGCAATGGCAAAAGCTTTGACTCGTAACCTCTTGTAACAAATTCTTTCAACTTATCTTTGCAATCACTGTGGAGTTGTAATGCAATATTAAAAAGTAAAATAAAAATCATCTCACAGAATAAAGAACTGTGCAGAGCTACCAGAATCTATACCTCAAACCTTCTAGAGGCTCCCAAGTATCCTCTTCCGGACCATAGCCTTTCCATCGTATCTAAAATGTTAAAATTTACATAAACAATTAGGACATAGTGCAAAAGGGAAATGTTAGAAAAAGAAGAGTATCATAAAACAATCACATGCTGGTGTTATAAAATCAAACGAGAAGCATCAGCTTTATTGCATTGAAGTGTAAAGTAATGGCCAACTTTGAACATACTATTCTAGCCCAAAAAAAAAAACAAAAAAAAACACAAACAAAATATAATAAAAAGACGAATTATTGTTCGGAAAACAGAAGAAATGGTCATGAAAAGATCAGTCAATAACCTTGAAGTGCAGTTCAGATTTTCCATGATTGTTTGGATCTCCATGACAAATTCCAAGTATTTCTTCAACTTCATATATTTCAGAGTCACCGGCATCATCATCATCCTCAGCCGCTTCCTCCTCTTCTTCTGCTTTTTTGGAATTAAAGCCACCCTTAGCATTACTCTCCATTTCATTGCATGAACTTCTTTTTGTTGATAATGAGAAAGATGAACAAAGCTTTTCCCATTCTTCTATAAGATGCAAAAAGTCCTCGGCAGATTCATTCCTCACCTAAGTTTAGATATGTGAGAGAACATTGAAAAAGACAATGGTGCAAGTTATTACAAGCATATTAAATTGGCACATACCTCTGTCTCTGGATGATTTAACTTGAGGCTTTCACAAGCATATTGATTATAATCGACAGCCCATTTCTGTGAAGGCAAGTACAATTCAAAATAATAATAATAATAATAATAATAATAATAATGCACAAATTTCATTAAGGCATTTAAATGAACTTTAATAAGCTAGTCATTGTATAACTAAAATATTTTAAATTCTCCATGAAAATGGTTGGATAATGTGATGAAATATACATGACACAAAAATAAAATTGGTAAAAAGCACCATAAGATCCCTAGGTTCAATAATTATAGGTGTTAAGTTAAAAAACACAAAATTCAAATCTAAGTGAACAATAAACTACAAGTACAGGTGAGCTCAATATACAAAACTCTCAATAGCCATCATAAACAAAAAAGTTTGTACTTATAATAAACTTAAGAAGTAATCATAAAAAATATACTCACTCCGTCATCAAAATGTGTGCTCAAATATTTGGGCAAGAATTTTAATAAAAGTTGATAATAATTGTTATTTTTTGCTTTTTATAGTAAAAAATACAAAAAAATGATGCAATTTTTTACTAAGAAGAAAATAAAAATATTTTTTTAATGACAATCCAAAAAAAATGATCATAAAGTTGGATAGAGGGAGTACTATTATAATAAATTATTGATAACTAATCGATCAAGTAAAGTAAAACCTACCGTAACAAGTCTGACACCACCAATGTTAGCACCAAGGCAAAGTCCAGTTGACATAGCTCCACATCCCGAATACAGATCTAACAATGATATTTCATTTTTAGGATCATGACTTTCCGATGATGTTTCGCGATCACTAGAAATGGTAGAAGTGGATTCTTGACTTTTTGTCTCATCATCTGTATTTGCACACACAAAATGTATACATAAGAAATACTATGCATGAAAAAATATTTAGAAACAAGATATTAAATATCAAACAAATTTACCTGATGGCATGTTTACAAAAGATGTGTATGGAAGCAAATATTTTTTGCTATAATAAAAGTCCCATGTGGGTATAGTTTTCGGATCAAATCCAATAATTTCCTGGAAACATATAGAACATATAAGTTATGATCAAGCATTCTATTAAGTTGGCAAGTAACTAACTGCTGAAGTTGTACCTTTGAAGGTATAAATTTAATGTTAATCTTCTTGACAAGGCAATCTAGTGGATTGTCATCCCTAATTTCTGAAAAGAATATTTGTTTGTTGTGTACAAGAGAAGTGCAGGATTGGATAACCTGACATACATAATATAAAATTATCAGAACAAGAAAATATCATTCTTGAAAAGAATGCAAGATCACACAATACACATCAAAATGTCTCACCGTATCACCTGCCCTATAATACCATTGAGCAGTGAAATGTAGTGACCCATCAACTGCAGAGAAAAATTCTACAATCTTACAAATGTAACTGTCTTTCCCTGGTTCAGCCTAGAACACAGCAACACATGATATTAGTGGGCATTGGTCATTTAAATATATATGTGTACATACATATATATGCTCAAGTAAATTTCAAAATAATAACTAACTAAAAATGGTGCAATATCAATAACAACCACAAGTTTTATAGTAAAATCATTCCTTAGAAATCATAAAAACATCAATATGATAAGCCATTGTGATTGACTCATCACCCTATAACTACTTGTCAACTATAAAAGAGTTCAAATATATGTGTCAATTAAAATTTGTTTAGTGAAAAATAAATTTTAATGCAATACTTAAAATAAAAATAAGAAGTCAAAATGACATTTCTAAATGAAAACAAATTATGAATGTGATGATTTACTAGAAATTAGGTGTGTTTGTTTTTAATTTCAAATAAACAAAACAACAATATTAAACTCTTACGGTTCTCAATAAAAATAAATTATTTTTTTCTCATAAAACATCATATCAAAATATTATTCAAAGCAAAATTCAAATCAATTTAAAACAACCCAACAAACCCGAAATATTACAATTTTAACCCAAAAAAAAAAAAAAAAAACTCTGAAAATAGCATCAACAAGTGGCCAACACATATGCATTTAGAGTGTGTTTTTTCACAAAATTTATCAAATTTTTACTATTTATCAAAAAAAAAAAAAAAAAAAAAAAAAATCCTCCAAAAAACATCAAATAATACTCCACCGATCCACAAAAATATTAAAAAAAAAACTCATATGAGTCATGCTGGATTTTAATAAATATTCATTACATTAGTTAATTGTAACATAAAATAAGAGTTTTTTTTATCAAATTTGACAAAAAATTTGCTATTTATCAATTTTTTCCTTTCAAAATATCGAATCAAACAATCTATTTTTTTATTATACTAAAAATTAATTTTATATTCAAAATATCACATCGACACCTATTTATATCACATTATACAATTATCCCAATTTAAATTTTTTATTATTCAAATTTCAAACCCAAAATATAAATCCCCAAAAAAACACTCCAAATGTATTTTAAAAAATATATGAATAAGGTAGTAAAATGAGAGATAATTTTAGTAAATAAAATATTTAATATTGTAAAAAAGCATAATATTAAATGCCATAAATTAAAAAATATTGTAAAATATTTTGGTATAAATAAAATATATATATATATTAACAAAAAATATATATATATATATATAGGTTTAATTGACAAAGTGTAATAATATTAATGTGATGAAAAAATTCTTGCAACTAATTTTATGCCATCATAGGTTCAATAAAAGAATGCATGCACTTGAAATAATTTAATTCATCGACTGTTTATTTCTTCACCTGCACATATGCTTCATCATCCAAAGAGAAAACAACACCATCGACCTCAGCATTGGAATAGTGCCCTCTTGCTTGGGTAAATTCCTAAATTCACAACAGAAAACATATATATATATATAATCAAGAAACTTATCAAAAGACACAAAACTAATAAGTCATGCAAAAGCAAAAAATCCAAACTACCATATACTTTCATAGAGCAAAACAACACAACCGCAAACAATCAGGATTATTCATAGAACCCTAAATTATCATGAATTAGGAATGAGATAAATCACCCACAACTAAAAACTCCCTATCTTCAAATTGCAGGCTCAAACATTTAATAAAACCTTTTAATGAAGAAAGATAATAATTAGTACTTTTTTACTGCTATAGTAATATATATACACAGAAAAGTAGATATATTGTCTATGAAACGAGAAACAAAAACAAGTTTTCATTGTACCCCAATAAAAATAAAAGCAGATTTTGATGGCAGAATAAATAAATAAAAGTGTGTGAATGATGAAGGAAATGAAATTCAGGTGTAGAGCTCAAGAACAAACACTAATTTCAAACACAATTTGATAATAGAGAAAGAAAAATAAAAGCAAAAAACTTAAAAAAGCTTTTCTTGGAAACAAAATGCAATCAAATTTTATTTGTTTTCCAAAAACCACAACTTTCCACACATATACATTACTTACTATTCAATGAAGCCCTATTGCTATTAAACGATAATCTGAAGCATTCGAAACAAATTTCCACATAAAACTAATAGTAAAAACCTCACCCACCCTGCGCCAGTCGCATCGTCAAACATTAGCTCATCTTAAAAGGATTAAAAACTTTCCATTCTTAACTCCAATCACCAGTACAGGCAAAAAAAAAATCGTTTCGATTTATTCTTCAAGCTCATGATAATCAAACAGCAAACTCAAGAACCGTAATAGCAAAATGCATAGTGAAATCCAGCAACGCGAGTTCAAAGCATATACCGATTGTCCTCGTGTGTAGCGGTGAGGCCAACGCCTCTTTGCCTCTTCAACTGGAATTGGATCTCCCAAGAAACGGGCCTGGCCAACCTCCCCCACCTCATCCTCCTCCCCTTCCAACTTCAAGTCCTCACCGGCGGCGTTCTCCGGCATTTCGACGGCATCTTCCACTTCCGGCGGCGCGGATACCGCCTTCTTGGATTGGCCTTGACTGTTGGAGGAGGCAGATTCCTTCCGCTTCGGCATTTCGATGAGCGGATAAGAGAGGGGTCGGAATTAGGGTTTTAAAGAGAGTGAAATTTTTTCAAGAGGGTTGGCGGGAAACTGGAATTTTGAGCGTCTATAAAGTACAGTTCATACTTTGCTGTCAAGTCCGATTCGAACGTTATAATTTCCATTTATTTTTAAAAAGGAAAAAAAGACTGCATACAATTGAATCTGTATATTTATTATGGTAGGTTGCTGTTTTTATTTCTCTCAATTTCTTTTAATATAAGGTGAAAGGTGTTTTAATTTCGAATGGAATTTGGTATTATTCATTTTGTATTGTTTTTAATAAATATTATTTCAATTTATATGTCATTTTAAAATAATTTCAATTCAAAACAAAATGAACTTAAAAAATCAAATTCAAACAGATTATATACTTTAAAAAATATAGATATTGAAATTTTTTTAAACTAAATGTGTGTTTTTTTAGTATTTTTTTTATACATATTTTCAAAAGAAATAAAGAAGAAGATCAGGCGTGAAATCTTGATCTTAAGAAATAAAGAAGAAGATCAAGCGAGAGCTGAAATCATAATTTTTGCACGAGTTAAAATTTAATTAACTAAGTTATATAATTAAATATTATATAAATATAAGGATTTGGGCACTGAATCTGACAATTCAGTACCCTATCCAAATTGATAAAAATAATAATTACTGATCACAAAGAAATAAAGAAGAAGATCAGGTGTTGAAATCATGATTTTTGCACGTGTGGCTGAATGAGTTAAAATTTAATTAACTAAGTTATATAATTAAATATTATAAATATAAGGAATTGGGCACTGAATCTGACAATTCAGTACCCTGTCCAAACTGGAAAAAATAATAATTACTGATCACAAAGAAATAAAGAAGAAGATCATGTGTTGAAATCTATGATTTTTGCACGTGTGGCTGAATGAGTTAAAATTTAATTAACTAAGTTATATAATTAAATATTATATAAATATAAGGATTTGGCCACTGAATCTGACAATTCAGTACCCTGTTCAAACTGAAAAAAAATAATAATTACTGATCACAAAGAAATAAAGAAGAAGATCAGGTGTTGAAATCTATGATTTTTGCACGTGTGGTTGAATGAGTTAAAATTTAATTAACTAAGTTATATAATTAAATATTATATAAATATAAGGATTTGGGCACTGAATCTGACAATTCAGTACCCTATCCAAACTGATAAAAATAATAATTACTGATCACAAAGAAATAAAGAAGAAGATCAGGTGTTGAAATCATGATTTTTGCACGTGTGGCTGAATGAGTTAAAATTTAATTAACTAAGTTATATAATTAAATATTATAAATATAAGGAATTGGGCACTGAATCTGACAATTCAGTACCCTGTCCAAACTGGAAAAAATAATAATTACTGATCACAAAGAAATAAAGAAGAAGATCAGGTGTTGAAATCTATGATTTTTGCACGTGTGGCTGAATGAGTTAAAATTTAATTAACTAAGTTATATAATTAAATATTATATAAATATAAGGATTTGGGCACTGAATCTGACAATTCAGTACCCTATCCAAACTGATAAAAATAATAATTACTGATCACAAAGAAATAAAGAAGAATATCAGGTGTTGAAATCATGATTTTTGCACGTGTGGCTGAATGAGTTAAAATTTAATTAACTAAGTTATATAATTAAATATTATAAATATAAGGATTTGGGCACTGAATCTGACAATTCAGTACCCTGTCCAAACTGGAAAAAATAATAGAAATAAAGAAAAAGATCAGGTGTTGAAATCTATGATTTTTGCACGTGTGGCTGAATGAGTTAAAATTTAATTAACTAAGTTATATAATTAAATATTATATAAATATAAAGATTTGGGCACTGAATCTGACAATTCAGTACCCTATCCAAACTGAAAAAAATAATAATTACTGATCACAAAGAAATAAAGAAGAAGATCAAGTGCTAAAATCATGATTTTTGTACTTATGGCTAAATTAGTTAAAATTTAATTAACTAAGTTATATAATTAAATATTATATAAATATATGGATCTGGCACTGAATCTGATCATTCAGTACCCTATCCAAACTGAAAAAAATATAATTAGTGATCACAAAGAAATAAAGAAGAAGATCAGGTGCTCAAATCATGATTTTTGCACGTGTGGCTGAATGAGTTAAAATTTAATTAACTAAGTTGTATAATTAAATATTATATAAATATAAGAATATGGACACTGAATCTGACAATTCAGTACCCTATCCAAACTAAAAAAATAATAATTATTGATCACAAAAATTTAAAGAAGAAGATCATGTGTTGAAATCATGATTTTGATACGTATGGCTGAATGAGTTAAAATTTAATTAGATAAGTTATATAATTAAATATTATATAAATTTAAGGATCTGGGAGCTGAAACTGACAATTCAGTACCCTATCCAAACTTAACAAATAATAATTACTTACAAATAAATAAAATAGAATATCAGAAGATGAAATCATAATTTTTGCACGTGTGGCTAAATAAGTTAAAATTTAATTAGCTAATTTATATAAATTAAATATTATATAAATTTAAGAATCTAGCGTTGAAACTAACAATTCAGTACCATATCCAAACTGAATCAAAAAACAATAATTACTGATCACAAAGAAATAAAGAAGAATATCATGAAATCATGATTTTTGCACTGTGTGGCTAGATAAGTTAAAATTTAATTAGCCAAGTTATATAATTAAATATTATATTATTAATTTAAGGACTTGGGCGCTGAAACTGACAATTCAATACCCTATCCAAACTGGAAAAAAATAATAATTACTTATTAAAAAGAAATAAAGAAGATGATCATGAAATCATGATCTTTGCACGTATGACTGGATGAGTTAAAATTTAATTAGCTAAATTATATAATTAAATATTATATTATTAATTTAAGGACTTGCGTGCTGAAACTGACAATTCAGTACCCTATCCAAACTGAAAAAAAATAATAATTTTTGATTACAAAGAAATAAAGAAGAGGATCAGGCGCTGAAATCATGACTTTTACATGTGATTACATGTGTGACTGAATGAGTTAAAATTTAATTAGCTAAGTTATATAATTAAATATTATATAAATTTAAGGATCTGAGCCCATGTTCAAACTGAAAAAATAATTAGTATAATTACAATTCAGCACATGTTAAATACTTAAATATTAATTATAGTTTAATAATATAATAAATATAAATATGTATAATTAATTTAAAATTATTCAGTAGGATGTTGAAAAAATATTTTTAGCACATATTATCAAACAAAAATAATTTCATACATATCACCAAAAATAATATATTACATATATTAATCATTTTTATATTATCTATATAATTCCATATATATCACCTAAAAATAATATTCTTTCAAACTATTTTAAAAATCAAATACACCCTAAATATATATTTATAATCACAATATTATTTAATTGAATTAATTAATAGTAATTAATTATTAACTATTAAAAAATTAAAATTCTTTTGGCATCTTATCAATATTAGTTTAATAGATTATATGTTGAAGTTGAAATTTTAATGAATAATTAAAAAGCTAAAAGTGTGATCTTTCACTATTTTTTTTTCACATTTTTTTAAAAGAAATAATAATAATAAAAAAAAAAGGATCAAGTGCTATGAAGTGCACGTGTGCTGCTGAATAAGTTCAAATAGAAATATCCAAATTATATAATTAAATATTATATAAATTTAAAGATATTAAAAATTAATATTGGTGCTGAGCCTAACAATTCAACACCTTATCCAAAATAAAAGAAAATAATCATTACTGACTAATTTGAATTCAGAGCATGCTAAATACTTAGATATTAATTATTAGTAATTTATGTTTTTTCATATAATTAATATAAATATGTATTATTAATTTATAACTATTCAGTGGGATGTCGAAAAAATATTTTCAATACCTGATATGTAACAAAAATAATATATATTATACATATTAATCATTTTTATATTATCTACATGATTCCATATATCTCACCAAAAGATAATATTCCTTCAAACTATTTTATAAATCAAACGCACCCTAATTATATATTTATAATCATCATATTATTTAATTGTATTAAATAATAGTAATTAGTTTGTAACTGTTCAGAAATTAAAATCTCTTAGCATCTTATTCATATTAGTTTAAAGGATCATATCTTGAAGTCGAAATTTTACTAAATAATTAAAAAACTAAAAAAGATTAAGAGGGTGTTTGAGAAACAACTTAGCTTTTGAAGAGCTTTTAGCTTATTGAAATAATTTTTAGTTGTTTGACCAGTCAAAAGGAGTGTTTGTTAAATTAGCTTTTTGAAACAGTTTTTTGAACCCAAAAAGGTTAATTTTTTAAAAACTCATATACCCGCATTTTGAAACAGCTTTTTTATTTTGTTGTTATTCTTTATTTACCCTTAAAACTTAATTATTTATTCTATACATATAAATATATTTTTATAGCAGTATTTATTAATTACTTTTAATTTATTTAATTTGTTAAATTATATTTTTATTTTTGTAAATTTAAAATAATAATAATTATTAATTATTACATATAAATTATTTTATTTGTAAAATATATAAATTTTTAAAACTAAATCAAGTAAAAAAAACAAAGATTATTAATTTATTTATATATATTAAAACAATAATTAACATGATAAAAATATATATACGAAAGATTTATTATTTTATAGTTTATATAATTTCAATAAAAAAAATATTATTTTTTAGTAAAAATAATTTTATCAAATCTAAATAATAAAAATAAAGATAAATATTTTATAATATTTTTATAATTTTCAATAATTAATAACAAAAATTCTCATAAATTTCAAATCAAAATGAACAAAATTAAATATTTTAAAAAATAACATATCAATGTTCTTAATAGTCATTTTATGTATAAACAGCTAATGTCAAACAGTTATTTTACCAAACACCTTAATACGAACTGCTAATTGAATCAGCTCGTCAAACCAACTAATTGAAT